ACTAGGACTTGCCAGATATGGCAGAGGATATTCTTGAGGCAGAGAGGAAGATAGTGAGAGATATACAGAGAGGCAGAGAAACAGAGAGGGAGAGAGGAGAAAAAGTAGAAGTCGTCGCATGCAAAGGAATAAGAATCAGAATACCGAACTATTCAACAGCAAACTGGATATAAGAAAAATATAAGAGGACAATGACCACAGAAAAAATTTAAGGGACAATAATCTTTAGCTTAAATTCAGTATTCCAGCTGAACCTCTCACCAAGTATAACAGAATAAGAATATCTTTAGACACGCTAGACTCCAAAGAATTTTCTTCCCATGCACCCTTACCCAGGAAGCTACAGTAGGACATGTTCCACTAAATAGGAGAGTAAACCTCAAACAGGCGAAGACATGGGCTCCAACGTGGGAGAGCTCAGTGTCAGGTTGACAGTTCAGCCAGCCTACAGAACCAGAGTGAAAGAGGACAGAAGACCCTGGGAGGAACATCTCCAGAAAGTAATAGAACATTGATATAGCAGCACAACAGAAACAATTAAGGATTACTATCTGTTATGATAAGTATGGCAGATAGAGCAAGGTAAAACAAAAAAAAAGGAAGGCCACCAGAGACTAGAGGGAAAAGACAGTAAGAAAGGAACACAGTTCTCTACTTGGCTCTGCAGTGAACAATATTATACATTCCTCAGAAAGCATACACTGATTGTTACCTTAAAACGATTTAACTAGAACTTCCGCTGCATTCTGTTGGCTGCAGAAGTATTCTATAAATGGGCCAGAGATAGATCCTCCATATTCGCCTATAATGGCCCCATGTTGACTTCTTCACAGCAGGCTAATTTAGCCCAAAGCCCACTGATGCCAAATCCTCACACATCCAATTACTTTAAATATAGTCCCCAAATACATATTTTTAGCCAATTAGAGCCTACCTACTTCACATGCCCCTTGAAACTGCATTGAACATCCGATAACCATAGATAAAACAACCCTGTAGCTATGAAAGGCCCCAAACCACTGTTGCCCTTCGGGGCCACTGCTGCTGAGAGACATTTCCTGGACACATGAGCCCCTCTGATTTCCCCTTTCCCACCAGGAGTCCCCTTGTCCTATTCCCCTAATGGGTGGTGGTCCCATGCAACCATCTCTGGAACGAATTTTTCCTGAGTTCTGTCAGTTTTCACGTGTGCTGAGCCTATGTCCGTGGGAGAGACTTCCCATCTCATGCAATCCTGTCCAAGTGTCGCCCAGATAAAGTGTGTTACTGCCTCACGTAATCGGTCTCCCCTCCTTGATCACCCCTCAAGTCCTCGAACTTACCACAAGAAGTTACAAAGGTTTGCAGGTTCAAGGGGAGGGACTGTAGACCTCACCTCTCCATGGAGGATGGTGATACCACACTGTAAAGAGCATGTGGGATGAGATATATATTCAAGGGACCATCCCTGGAAAATACAATCTGTCGCAAAGATCAATATACAAAAATTAACTGCATTTCTATTCAGTAGCAACAATCAGAAAATGAAATGTTAAATAGATACAATTTATACTAGAATCAACAAACATCAAATGCCTAGCAATAAAGCAAATGAAAGATTTCTGCACATAACACTACAAAATATTACTGATAGAAATTTTAAAGGCTTAAATAAGTGGAGGGGTCTATCATGTTCAGTGATTGGAAGAATTCTGCGGTTGCTGGGTGCATGTCAATTAGGTCAAGCTGGTTAATTGTGTTCAAGTATTTATGAGTTTTTTTTGTTGTTATTGTTGGATGAATCCTTTTGTCATTATGAAATACCCCTCTTAATTTTTAGAAATGCTCATTGTCTTAAAGTCTGCTTTGTTTGATATTAGAACATTTATCTAATAAAGGACTCAAATGCAGAATACAGGAAAATCTCCATAATAACAATAGGACAATTTATAAAAGTGGGCCTGAAGATTTAAATGACCACTTTAAAACAAGAGGATATCCAAATGGCCAATAAACATGAAATGAGTTCAACCTCATTACTGATCAGCGAAACGCAAAATGAAACCACAGTGATTTACTGCTGATGGCTAAACATACGTAAATAAAAATAAAATTAAAAAGAAAATACTGACAACGCCAAGTATTGGCAAGGACTGGGAAACTGCAATTCTCATACACTCATGGTGGGAATGTAAAGATGGTGTAACTACTTTGGAGAACAGCGTGGCAGTACATGACAAAGATGGACACATTCCATTCCAAAAGACACACATAAGAATGCTTTTAAGGACTATTCATAATAGCTCCAAACAGGAAACCCAATGCCCACCAATAGTAAGATGAATCAAGTATGGTCTATTCATAGAATTAAACATTACACAGCAAGAAAAGTGAAGGAACTATTGCCTCATCCACCATGGGTCAGTCAGTCTCACAAAGTTGAAGCAAAGAAGCCGTGGACAAGAGTAATATATATATATATACACATATAAAATATAATATATAATATACATAAAATATATATAAAATCTAAAAATATATATATAAAGTTCAAAACCAGGCAAAATAACTTATATGATAGAAGTCAGAGTAGCGGCTTGTAGGGGCTAATAATTGGAAGACGATATGAAGCCAGCCTTTGAGGTGTGACAATGTTCTATTTCTTGATTTGAGGGCTGGTAATGAGCATGCACACTTTCTAAAAACACATGGAGATTAAGGTTTATGGACTTTTCTGCAAAAATTTTACAAATATTTTGAATGATTTAATTATATGTAGAAGATGTGGTAGGAATATGGGCAGTAAGGAATGTGTAAAATTGATAAATCAAGAAAGAGCTATACAGCATAGTTTAAAAAATAAAAAGTAATTACCACAAAACAATTAGAAGTTAAAAATGGTTGCCCCTAGTGGGTGGGGAGGGCACTGTTTTTCAGTAATTTTTGGTACTAGATTTTTTTTAAAGTGACAAGCATATGATATGCTTATAGGTCAGAATGTCAGTTCTTCACAAAGGAAAAATTACTGATGTAGGTAAAAAGGTAAACAGTTTCCTACACTAACAATGCTAAAGTCTGTCTGATAGAAGTAAATTCACTCTGCTTTTAGGCAAACCATAGTTTTAAACAGCAAGTTTAAAAGTTAAAAAATTATAGAAGGAAATTTCACCAGTTTTTTTTTTTGGTGAGGACCACTGGCCCTGAGCTAACATGTGTTCCCAACCTCTTTCTGCTTGAGGAAGATGGTTGCTGTGCTAACACCTGTGCCCATCTTCCTCTATTTTGCATGTGGAACACCACCACAGCATGGCTTGACGAGTTTTGTGTAGGCCCACGCCTGGGATCTGAACCCGCAAACCCCAGGCCGCCGAAGCGGAGTGGGCAAACTCAACCACTACACCATCAGGCCAGCCCTCACCACAGTTTTAAGCCAAATGAGAGGAGAAAAGGTGAAGGGTGGCAGGATATAGCATCCCAAAATATGCTTTGGTATAGTGACTATTTTAAGCTAAAGGGACTTAAACAGCAAGTGCAAGAAGGGTGCTCTGAGTCTCCCCTTTGCCCTTCCTGAAAACAGGAGATGAAAGCCCCATATGGAAGAGGTACTCTCTACACTAGAAGGAAAGTAACATTCTCATCACCAAGGACAGGATGTTGAGACTGAGAGAATTCCATACAAACCTTATTAAAACAATTCTTGGGGCCAGCCCAGTGGCAAGGTGGTTAAGTGTGCGCGCTCCGCTTTGGTGGCCCGGGGTTCTCAGGTTCGGATCCGAGGCATGCACCGATGCACCGCTTGTCAACCCATGCTGTGTTGGCGTCCCATATAAAGTAGAGGAAGACAGGCACGGATGTTAGCCCAGGGCCAGTCTTCCTCAGCAAAAAGAGGACTGGCATTGGATGTTAGCTCAGGGCTAATCTTCCTCACAAAAAAAAAAAAAAATCTTATCTTCCTTTAGCCTCCCCATATAGTTCACTTTTCCACAACTGCCTCTCTCTGTTCAACCTAGTATAAAAGCCTTTAGGTTTTGCCACTTCTTTGGGCCTTTATTCCTTATGAGGGGTTCCATGTCACATAAAACTTCAATAAACTTATATGCTTTTCTCCTGTTAATCTGTCTTATGCCAATTTAATTCTCAGGCCCAGCCAAAAACCCTAAGAGGGCAGAGGTAAAATTTTGCCTCCCTGACAGAGGCAAACCCTGCATATGTTCTATTCTATTAATGCAGAGCAAACAACTCTACTTGTTTACATCCCTATTTTCTCTTTATATAGAAAGTAAAGCTTGGTATTAGAACACAGAGTGACATACTTGGTAAGCAGTGTGCTGGCTCATGGATGAAAGTTCTTATTCCTTATTCTTCAAATTAAACTGCCATTTCCCAGCACAGTCTATGGAGGATGCTAATAGGAATTATGTGGATAAAGATGTTCCATGGTCAATCATGTTTTAGAAACCCTGGATTTCTTTATTGTAGGCCTTCTCAGAACCATCATTATATTAATATACACTGTGACTCCCCAGAAAGAACTTCCTCTATGCCTCAAATAGTGAGGCATTTTAATATTTGTTAAAGTAAAAAAGGAAGAAAAAATAAAGAAAAAAAAAAACAAAATAGTTTTTTTGATGGCAAGAATCCATTACAGAAACAACTGGGAGGCAGCCAGGAGAATACTTCTATTAGTAGATTTAGGGTAACTTAGATAGTAGATCAGGATACTTCCAGAAATCTGAAAATCTCAAACTTCCCCATGCCATAAAATCCTTCCCAGGACTGATAACCTCCTTTAAGGTGTCCTGGCTATTTGGTAGCATTTGTGAGGTACACTGAAGGTTTCATCTGGCTTTTCTAAAAAAGAAGTCCATTCTATTAAAGCTACATTTGACAAAACTTTTTAAAAAAAGAGACTCTGGGTGCTATAAGGGCTTTCTGAATGTTTCTTTTTGTGTTTTTCAAGTCAGGACTGTATGAACTACCTAGTATTTAGATACCAAAATAAAAAGAACAAGCAAAGACTGTATAGGATATCTGATTTTTTTTTTTTTAATCTGAACAGAAAATAAGTAAGTATACAAGTTTGCTAAAGAGAAGTGATAAAAATTGAATGTTACATATCATGGAATCAGTACATCAAATTTTACTTCGGTAGCCGGTGATTCTTATAATTAATTCTGCAAAAAAACAAAACCACTTACGCAGAAACAAGAACATAAAATGCCCCTTTCTGAACTCCAGTTTGATAAAACTGATTTCATATCTAGCTTATTAATAGTATTCAGTTTCAGTTCTCCCTGTACAAATAATACAGTCATTAATGGTGGTTTGGTGAGGTGAAATCGATTTCTCTTTCCAACATAATACCTCAAATATAAAAAAGTTACTAAAGATTTACAGAGATAAACCAGTGCCTAGGAAACATAATTCACCTGTGCATAATAATTTTATAACATATTTTTCAAACATGAAATCATGGTCAAAGAGAGTGATAACACTGCATACTCAGTGCATTACTTCATGTAGTGCATTCCTCAGGCTCACTGGGAGTCTAACACCATGTAACCACCACACTTCTAATGAATGGGCTTCTAATATACAAAATCCATCCAATTTTTCCAAAAAGCTAACAATTTTGTAGGACCTTGACACGTCAGGACTCTGTATTTTAATATCCCAACCACTGGGAAGATCAGGTGTGAAACGTAGTAACCACCCCTTGTAAGCAAGATGGCACATATACTTTTGTGACATCACCACAAAGAACCCTCAGAACAAATCAATACTGCAGATTGAGAGGGGCACATTTATTATTTAGCCAAAGAAAATTCAAATGGCTCTCCTGGAGTCAACTGTACCCCACGACATATACAAGGAATGAGTATAATTGTGGCAGCTAAAGAAATCTGCCACTGTGTAATAAATGCTATTATGCAATTATGTTGTACATCTTTGTGATGTACAAATGTGATTTGTTCATTTCCCATTATCATGGGGCAAAAGAAAATGAAATTCAAGACAATCTCATTAGAACAGGACAAGTGATGACCCCAGTTTTAAATAGGGTTCTTCATTGAAGGAAAAGATAGAGCCATAAAAGTCAAATTAGCTGACTTCAAATGGTTAACATCCCAGGATGAATCAGGTTACACTGATTTAAGCCCAATTTAATTTAGGCAGGTTTTTAACCACAAGAATAAGGACATTCTTAGTACATATTAATAATTAAATCAACATATACACAATTAGCAATATCCTATATAATATTAAACGTTTTAACAACTTGTTCTCGATTATTTTATATCTAGTTCATTTGTTGCTTTTGTTTAAAAAAAAACAAGCTGAACTTGATCTTACAACGTACTTTGTATTTCTAAGTGTACTCTAATTATTTCATTGAAGAGTATACAGTTCTCCGATTCTAAGAGCCAAACTCAACTGTATCTTCTGTTATCTGTTTGAATTCATAATTCCCTCTGCCGTCCATATGCAGGTAGTACTATGGGAAAGAAGTGGGAAACATAAGAGCATTTCCTTTTGTAAGGAATTTAAGTAGAGGTTTTTATACAAGAATGATCAGAAATAATTATTTTAAGCCACTAAAACCTTCAAAAGTTTATACTCAGAAATGCATACAGTTCTCCAAGGTAAGACTAAATGAAGTAGTCTGCTCTTTTTAAAAACAGCAATAATATAACTCTGCTTAGAGTGGACAGAGTACTTCCCTTTATGAGAACTAACACATCAGACTTCCTCATTATTTTAAAGAAACCACATCTACAAGCATCCCACAAATTAGAAGGCTTCTACAACTCCACAACCAAGGCTGAGGTACCAGTAGGTCGAACTGCACTGAGTGGAAGCCCGTTCACAAGGGCAGCCTTGAATATACTTCCTAATTTAGCTGGTTTCCTAGGTCAGCACGGAACCGCTAACTTAAGGCTTTTTGTTTGTTTGGTTTTGGATTCAGCACAGGAGGAAAAGAGCTATGTAGTGTGCCAATATATCCCACCCCATGAAAACACTTAGGACAGCAGTCACAAAGCCTGTTTCAGTTAGTGGTTTTTTATTTACAGAAAGACTTTTGTTTTTCCATTTTCTACATTGTTATTTCTTAGCTATTCTGGCCTCTGTCACTGCAATTCTTTGTGTCACCCCTCCTTCACATACTGGCCTGATGGTGATTTTGCTACCTGCCTACACCACCTGAAGAGGAGGGGAGGTGAAACCCAAGTCCTCTCACTGTCCTATGGCTGTAATGTTCATGAACTTCTGACAAAACACAAACGCTTGGATGTATTTTAAACTGCTTTGATTTCCAGTTATTTAATTTCTCATTAAATTCATGAAAAATGGACAATATGCCATAAGACATAAAAATTATCTTTAAAAGTCACACAGCTATAGAGAACGTCATTACACTTCATTAAGTGCTTTCATATAGGCTGCCTCTTTGGTCCTCATGGTCATCTGAGACAGACAGGCAAGGATCAATAACTACTATATGAAGGAAGCAACTGAGGCCAGAAGCAGTGGTGCCTGAACCCAGGTTTACTGACTTCAAATCCCACGCTCCTCATTTTATCACTTGTACCCTATCATTTAAACCATAAGGTTCTTGAGGGTTAAGAAGGTACTTTGGATCCCACATGACACTTAGCCCAGGACTTGGCAAAACAGGTGCTCAATCAGATGTGTATTTTATGGGACACAATACCCACCATTGTTCCAATTTTTCTCAAACCCTTTCTTTTATCTAAAATTTCTGTATCATTTAGGGGGAAAAAAAAGGAAGGAAAGAAGAGAAGGAAGGAAAGACAGAAGGGGAAAGAAAAAAAGAAGGAAAGAAAATAAAATGAATTAAAGTGGGTTTATTTTCAGGGTTTGTTGATTTTACATTAAGAGCTGAAAAGACCTGCCATCAGAGAACGGCACTGAAGGAGCACTGGAATGAAGACGACACCCGTGCCGGTGCAACCTCACGGCAGTGTCCTTGTAAAATGCAGTGCCCACCTCACGAATGCTACTCGACTACAGCGCAAGGAGGAATGGCTGACACTGTTCAGTTCCCCTGGCAGTCCTGATCTCCACTGAAAATGTCCCTAAACTTTTTGCCACTTAATCCTTTTTAAGACTCTTTCCCCTTCTGTCAATATGGGAAGGTAAGAAAAAGTTTACTTAGCCAGAGTTGTGATAAGATTATGCAAATTTTAGTCAATTATTAGTCAGTAGTCATTTATAAAACCGGAGAACCACTAACTCATTCTCTAATACCTCTCATATATAACTAGGGATTGTTTATACATATTGTAGCTTTTAAAACTGAAAACTACAATAATATACAAGAAAACCCTAATTTATTTTATAAAACTGAAATAGAATTACCTGTCCTTAAGGTGTATGTTTATAAGGGAAAATACACTAAGAAATCTAAAACCATAATCACCTGAATTCACACATTTAAATAAAATAAACTTTCGTTGCACCATTCAATGTAAGAAATACAAACCTCATGGTGTTTCCAGAGAGACTTTCTATGTGACACAGTGAAGAGGGTGATGCCAACCTAATACAAAGAAAATGATTAAGGTTTATATAAGTAACACAGAGCCACAAATTAAACTAGAGTATCTATTTTAAGCTGTTCGAGATGACTGCCTTCAGTAGCTATCGTTAAAAATCAATGTCAAAGAGGGCCGGCCCCGTGGCTTAGCGGTTAAGTGCGCACGCTCCGCTACTGGCGGCCCAGGTTCAGATCCCAGGTTCGCACCGACGCACTGCTTCTCCAGCCATGCTGAGCTTGTGTCCCATATACAGCAACTAGAAGGATGTGCTATGACATACAACTATCTACTGGGGCTTTGGGGGAAAAAATAAATAAATAAATAAAATTATAAAAAAAAAATCAATGTCAAAGAAAAAATTACGCCTGATGCCAAATGTTCAAGGTAACGCAAAGCACAGGCCATCAATCATGTAATAAAAACTAACAGGTATCTATAAAGTCTTTAAACAAAACAAAACAAAACTAACAGGTACTAGCATAAAGTGTATTATTTTGTTTGGGGCAGAAAACATATATCCTAGCACATCTTCTATCTTATTGTGAAAAGAATATAAGGATGGTAAAAATAGTAAAAGGTCAAAATCAGGAAAATTAAATCAATATAGTACTGTCTACAGTCAATTTGTTTTTCAAATACAAGGTCATAATCCTCTATTGGAAACCCTTGTTTTGGAATGTGCTTTGGGATTCAGATTTTGGAAAAGCAGTATTTACCACTCCCAGGGGGTCCTGGGGCAGAATTCTGTAATTAAACACATGAACATTTCTGCAGCAACACACATGGACATCAACATTGAGACAAATAAAAGAGTTTAAATATCTTCTGTTAGTTCAGGCCAGGTTTGGCTACCCAGTGAGCCTGCTAACAAAATAATGAAAAATCTTTCAATTTTAAAAGCTTACTGGATTTTAGACTGTGAATAATGGTTTATAGAGCCATACTTCAGATTTAAAAAAAAAACACTACTTGATACAACTGTAGTTGCTCTGCATCAGTGGTTCTCAACTGGGGTGGGGGTGGGGGGTCAGTGTTTTTGTCCCATAGGGGACATTTGGCAACGTCTGGAGACATTTTTGATTGTCACAGCTGAGAGTGTTACTGGCATCTCATAGGCAGAGGTCAGAGATGCTGCCAAACATCCTACAATGCAGAGGACAGCCCCCCACGACTAAGAATTATCCAGCCCAAAATGTCAATAGTGATGAGATTGAGAAACCCTGCTCTAGATCACTGTTTCCCAAAATGAATCTCTCAAGGCTGACAGATACATATCAAGGAAATTTCCATAAGTTCTAAATTTTATTTTTATTTTGATAATTCTTTAAAAATTAGCATAAGTACATTCTGTATTACTTATACCACGAGATTTCAGTGCCCAAGTTTGTGTCTATACTTCTGCTAGTACCAAGTGATAACTTAAGGTAATATCACTTAAAACTTGTAATGTTGTCATAAGTTTGGCTGCCGTGTGGAAAGGTTCTCAAATTGGTTAGCAACTGCATGACAAAATTAGCATATTATCAGTGATTAATAAAACATACATTTCAATGGTACAACCCTTATCTGATTTTTGAAAGCTCACTTCATATATTTTTTCTCTTTTCATGATTCTAGAATAATTTGGATTAGATCTCAACTTGACTGCATTCTTTATAATAGAATTACTTAAGTCAAAACACATAAGCAAAATTCAAAATATAAGATCTGGACCTCAGATTATATTTTTCCATAATTAAATCCCAAGCCAGTAGTTTAGTTCCAGCAAAACAGTGTCATAGGTCTCTTTAAAGCTGCAAATTTGAAATTGTGTTTTGTCTGTACTTAATTTGTAAATTTATATTGGTTTTGGAGCTGTAATTGAGCTCTACTAATTATCAGTTTAAAATCTTTATTAAAGTGAGATATCATCCTTTGATAGTAATTTTGTTACTTAATAACTCAGAATCTTCTCTTTGGGTAGATTTTGGTTGGACACAGAGTAAACCAGGAAGGGGAACGTGGACCCTCAAACTGAGACCCTGTCCCACTTACCTCCCGACAATGGCTGTAAATGTAGCCTTCCACATCCACACTCACTGCACTGGTGCATTCATCCAAAATGGCAAACTGGGGCTTATGATAAAATAATCTTGCCATCTGAAGCATAAAAAGAAATAAATAAGCCAAAATAGATTAAATTAAATATGTGTTTACAGTCTTGTAAAGCAAGTATGAAAATTATTCTAACTCAAAAAGTCTACTTCCCAGAAATAGAAACAACATAAATAAACCTAATTGTTTTTATTGTCTTCCTGAACAAAGGGGAAAATGTAACACACGAGAAATATTAAGAGTAAAACAAAACTTTTAAGACTGATGTGAGATGAAGTTGAGTTTTAAACTAACAATAAAGAAAATTCTTTAAATAAGATTTAAGGGTACATATTTTAATCAAATCAGAATTCAGACTATAGATGGCTCAGGGGCAAAACTGTGTCTATTTTTAAACATTCTGTTGCTTAAGTAATAACAATTAATATTAAGTTGACAATTAATATTCCTACCAATAATTTTTGAGTGCACCTGTTTTATCTCCCTGTGGTCAGTACTGGGTGTGCTCACTTTTTAAAGCCTTGGCTAATTTTATAAGTAAAAATTAACATCTAGATTGTTATAGCTTACATTTCTTTGCTTAATAGGAATGCTGAACATTTTCTCATGTTTATTTTCCATATGTATTTTATTTTATGGGAATTCTTTTCTTTTTCTCCCCAAAGCCCCAGTATATAGTTGTGTATCATAGTTGTAGAGTTGTAGCTCTTCTATATGGGACACCGCCTCAGCATGGCTTGATGAGCGGTGAGTAGGCCTGCATCCAGGATCCAAACCGGGGAACTCTGGGCTGCCGAAGCAGAACATGAAAACTTAACGGCTACGCCACTGGGCCAGCGCTGGGAATTCTTTATTCTGATCCTTTGTCTAAAAGATCCAATCTGTCATCTGTCCCTAACAATGATTTCCATGTTGCAAGACCAATGACACTTTTCTATCCTTACCCAATTTATCTTCTCTAAAACATTCAACTCAGATGACCACTCCCTCCTGGAGAAAGTGGAAGTGAAACCATGGTCTTAAGTTTCCTTCTACTTCCTAGGCTGCTTTCTCAGTTTCTTTTCCAGCATTTTCTCTTCCACTTGACCATTAAATGTTGGGGTTCCTCAGGGCTAATTCCTAGGTCCTCTTCTCTTTTGCCTATATTGTATAGCTCTGAGTGATCTCATGGAATCTCATTATTTCAAATATTATTTACATTTATAAACTCCCAATATACATCTCTTGCCTACACTTCTCTTTTAATTTCCAGATTGATATATAAAAATGCCTATTTGATCTTTCTACTTGGGATATCTCATAGGCCTCTCAGACTTTAAAAATCTAAAACTCAGGGGGCCGGCCCTGTGGCTTAGCGGTTAAGTGCACGCACTCCGCTACTGGTGGCCCGGGTTCAAATCTCAGGCGCACACCGACGCACGGCTTGTCAGGCCATGCTGAGGCCACATCCCACATACAGCAACTAGCAAGAGGTGCAACTATGACATACAACTATCTACTGGGGCTTTGGGGAGAAAAAGGAAAAAAAAAAAAAAAGGAGGAGGAGGATTGGCAATAGATGTTAGCTCAGAACTGGTCTTGCTCAGCAAAAAGAGGAGGATGGGCATGGATGTTAGCTCAGGGCTGATCTTCCTCACACACACACAAAAAAAATCTAAAACTTAAGTGGATTTTCTAGATTTTCCCCTTAAAACCCATTCATCCATTCCCCCTAACCTTAAACACTTCAGAAAATGACACTATCAGACAGCTGCTCAAGTTAGAAAGCCATGAGTCCGCCTTGATCTTTCCCTTCTCCTCCCTTTCACCCCCACCCCCTCATTTTTAGCCCATTCAAGTAGGTCGTGTGAACTTTGCAGTCCACTCCCTTTCCCCCGTCTCCACAATCAGCCCTTAGCCCAGAACAATCTCCTGCCTGGATGACCACAAACAGCCTCCTACTTCCTCTTTTGCTCCTCTCCAATCCATTCTCCATGTAACCAGAGAGAATCTTTCAGAAATGTAAATCAGAGAACTTCATTCTTCTGCTTAAAACCCTTCAACAACTTCCCATTTCACTTAGAATAAACCTCAAACTTCTCACCATGGCCTACAAGGCTCTGCACATCTTATTCCTACTCACTCTCTAATCTCAACATCTAGCCAACATCGCCTTCTCTCAACTACCAGGATACAAGGTGTCTTAGGCCTTAGAGGCTTGGCACACGTCACTTTCCTATGTCTCAAACGCCTTACTCTGCTTCTTGCATCTTTCAAATTTCTCTTAACATCAGCTCCTCAGACAAACCTACCCTGACCTCCTCAATCCCAGTGGGTCCCTCTGTAATACCTCTGCAGCACTGCATGTATGTGAACTGTATGTTCCTTTGTCTACTCCCCTAGGCTGTAACACTCACATAAGTAGAGACTCCATTTTAATCTTTACTATGCACCCAATAATTGTATATAAGAAACATTCAAATATTTGATAAATGAATGACTAAAACATATAAATAGCTTTCTTGGGGTTTATATCTATTTGTATGACGTAAGAAAGGAGAAGCAGCAAGTATAGACCATCAAGAAGTTCAGGTGTGCAGAGAATGAAAGGTACAGACTACAGGGGACCTCTGGTTAAGGCAGAGTTTGTTTTTTGGATCAGAGAGACCTGAAAATGTCTTCTGAAAGAGAAGGACTAGAAGAGATTAAATATAGGAGTGTGTGTGTGTATAACTGAAGGAAAGCGATGTGAAAAAGTCAGAGGAGAGAGGGTCCAAAACCACAGCTGAAGACATTTAGCCTTTCTCAAGAGGAAGGATGACATACCCTCCACAGATAGTGGACGTAGGGAGGTCAGGACAGCCCAGCACCAAGTTAATAAAGAAGAGTGGATATCTGAAGGCATTCCACAGATGTCCCTCCCCTGTGTTACCACAGAACTCGTTGCCTACCTTCATCACCACACTTACCACATCATGTGGAAATTTTCTCATCATGTCTCTCTCTCCCACTATGCTGTCAGCTACTTGAGAACACACTACAAGAAGACTGTACAGTGAGTAGCTATATGAACACTGTGGTCACACTGCTGCCTGAGCTTGACAAGCCTCCCCCTATCCCACACCACCAGTTTTAACTATTACTAGCTGTCTTTGGTTGGCAGGCTACTTAACTGTACTACGGTTCAATTTCCTCTGTAAAATGGGGTATTCACACTTCTTATCACAGGACTGTTGTGAGAATTAAAGGAGATAACCCGTCTAAAGTGCTTAGCACATTGTCTATCATCTATAAAGCACTCAACAAAAATTACCCATCACTTAACTGAAACAACAGCTTCTCTTTTTTCTTCAAGAAGCAGGAGATGAGTTATTCTGCTGAGAATATAGAGTAGGTAATGAGGTAGAAGGCCTGAGGTTGGTAGTTTTTAAATGATTCTCATCGAGAGGGGCAAAAATAAGTAAAATGATGGCCAAGCCATGCTGCGAGCCCCTGTATGATTGGAAACCCAGAAAGTGTGGTGGCACCACATCATACCACTCTGATTTTTTCAGCTGTGCTCAGAAGTCTATGTACAGAAATGCCAAGGCAAACAATTGCTCTTGGTTTGGGGTTTAGGTAACATGAGGAAGCAAACAGTGGAAAAGGAAGTAAAGGGGAAGGGACCATTGTTCATTCCTTTAAGAAACATCTCCTGAGTACCTCCTGTGTGCTAGGCCCCAAGCCAGGCCCTGGATGATTAAGTCTGTACTGGACAGGAAAGGAGGCAGAGTCGGGAGGGGAGTGATCAATTATAAGAAAAGAGAGGGATCAATATTCAAGAGATCTCAGTGAAGATCTTGAAGAAGTGGGATAAGTTGCCAATTAGGTAAAAGAAAAAGATTTATAAAAATGGATTAAAAAAACCTAAAAATTTTATGACAGTGGTATCTCTGCTAAGGGGATTTTGGCCCTTCTTTATACTTTATAAATATTCCAACTTTTTTATCATACATACTTCATAATTCAAAATAAGAACACCTGTTGCTAAATAGGCAGAGCAGATAGTGGAGTGGGAAAGATAAGCATTGGTCAGAGACATAAGACACCCCAACTGATGACATTAGGTGGAGCAACCTGGCTGATGGTGGCTGGGCCCAAATGGGTGCAATGGAGGGAAACGTCACTTGAGACTTCAAGGGACAACGCGAGGAGAGAACTGGATAGACAGTGCACCTTCACGTGGAAGGCTGTACACCGTCTGGTCAAGAGCAAGAGTTCTGACCTGCCCTTGGATCGCCGTAGCTGTGTGGAATTAGTAAGCCGTCTAGGCTCTCCACGTCTTTCCCTTGTCTGTACCTTACTTCACAGAGCTGCTGGAAGAATTAAATAGGATCTGCCATTCAAACCAATCTTTCCCTCATCATTATCCCATTCACTTTCTGAATAGCTATAACTGAAGACTGCCTTCTTTACAGCTAGTTGAGAATATCTATCTCCTAAATAGACTATAAGGGCAGGCACCTGGCTCAGTGCCTTGTGCAGAGTCGATTCTCACCTGATACTGAAGTCTGTGGAAATCATACCGTAAATAAGTTTTTTCACCATTAAAAAACAGAATAATAATCTTATTTTCCTGCATTTACACTGACTTTTTTCAAGAAACTTTTAGAAATGTGTTCACCAGACCTCCCTTTATTCAATAGTATTATTCCATTCCTTCACATTCAAATCTTGACTCTCCTTACCCAAAAGTTCCTTTGGTTCATTTGTTTTACACCAATCTTCACTCTTATAGATTCACTGTTTTAGGTGGATAGACCTTTCAAGTCTGTTCTTCCTAAAAATTATAATTTTTATAATTTATAAACTTTCATAATTTATAAAAAATTATGTCTTCTCATCCCTCACCTTTTTACTTTGAAAATTTTCTATCCTACAAAAAACTGAAAGAACAGTAAAATGAACACATGTATACTCTTCACTCAACTTCATTAATGTTAATATTTGTTGCATTAGCCTTTGCTCTCTCCCTCCAAACCCTTTGAAAATAGCAAAATGATATGCTCTCTTTTAAACTTAATATTCAATTCCCCAAACACTGGCCTGTACAGAACACACCCCGTCAACGGCTTGGTATGCAGCAGTGTCCTGGGTGAGCTTCCTCCGTTTACCAAACAACTCCATCACGGCTCATCTGGTTTTACAGGATTCCTTCCCCCACTCCCTTACTATTCCAAGACATCCTCTCACTCCTCTAGGCACGCCCTTGAACCTCTTATCTTCAAATAAAAACTATCCCCTCTGTACCTTTATACCACACACATAGGATTCCTTAAATAAGCACATTTATTTTTCTTTCTCTGAGCTTCCATTGTGTCCACTTGTGAGTCTTGACTTTTCCTTCCATCTTCTTTGAGTCACAGTACAGGAATTTAAATTTGTTCTCCTGATTTACAGTTATTTCTAAAGTCATCTTCTAAATTGATTCCAGAAATGCCCTATCAAATGCTCTATTCAAATTCTCACCCTTTCAGCATAATTTCCATCTTAAGTATGACTGACATCTCTCTTTTCTTTTGTTTATGATTCATTCTTAACTCTAGATTAATCTCATGTTGCAGCACTAGCCAGACAAATCACAATATTAGGTTGATATTAAATTCATATAGAATGGGTATGATTTTGGGAAAAACAACATGCAAAATCAAGGAAAAGGAGGCAACAAAAAGGTAGAATATAACCTGAAGATAATGAGTAAGCAATGCTGCAATCAGCCATTTCCTTTGCTGTCTTTCCTTGGCTACGGTTTTCTCTAATTTCCACCAGGTCAAGCCTCTGGAAAAACCAATTCCTACGGATCTGCTCAAACTATGGTATATATAGTTAGAAAATGACTCTTTGAAAGTTATCCCTCTTAGCAGAGTACCACCCTTAATATGTAGCATTTTGTAGTCATGTTTGATTAGGAATAAGTTTAGTCAATCATAAAATTAAAATAGTTCCTTTCAAATGCTTCTTTATACTAGGAAAATTTTAAAATTCTAAATAACGTTAGTAGTAGATACTGAGCCCTGAAGGATACATATAATGGTAGAAGGAAAGGGCAAGAACAGAATAAAGAACAAAATGATAACAAAATTAGAGTTGATCATCTCTAATACCTTCAGCTACTACAGAGAAAACTATCTGAGTAAGGTAAAGAGATGTCTACAGGGAAAAGATACTGAAAGAGACCTTGTAACCCAACCTGGATTACCATATATCCCAAGATCACTATGCTACAAAGTTTCCTCAACTTTTAGAAAAAAGGATTTATGGTATATAATTGGATCTGCAGCTTTTCCTTTCACAGGAAAATTTGTGAATTTTTCAAATTCCAAACTTACACATATAACACAAAGTTATACATTTTTAAGCACTATTATTATCATTTAAACTAATCCATACTATAACAATTGCTGAATAAAAAGATTACAATAAAACTGTGTGCCTTGATTAATCAAAATAAGTCAAAAACGCTGGGCTCTAAGCGCAGCTTTATGCACCAGTTGCACTGTGGTGCAATGTCTTCAGAGTATACTTACCGCCATTCTTTGCTTTTCTCCACCACTGAGAACATCCATCCAATCCTGAACACTGTCCCAGCCTCCTTCACGTTCAAGGATATGACCCAACTGGACATTATCTAAGTATTCCTTCAGTACCTTTCAGCAAAATGATTACAGATGAAATCAAGCTTACTACAAACCAACATTCTCTATCTCGCTTTATTTTTTAAACTAGAATCACTACAATTCTATTGCCAATAGCAATTAAAAAGGCAAATTTCACAAAAGAATGTGGCACAAAGGTAGCCCTGAACCCTTTACTTGCTTTCTACACTAACTTTGACAAAATATATCTAGTAGCTTAAAGAGAATAAAACTATTGCATGTAATTAAAGGATGAGGGCAAGGAGAAAACAAACAACAGTGTAAAGACAAGGTCCAACACTCAACCAGTCACAGTTAAGCAAAGTAGTTAACATACTACCTCAACTTGGAAAGTTATAATTAATGACAAATCTTTAGATGGCTTTACAAGTTAGGATAAACTACCTGGCACTTAAAATACTTAACTGATTAAGATAAAGAATCTGAAACAGAGTATTTCAGTAGGTCTAGGATATAAACATTTCCTTACTAGGTCAGATATCCCTTTCCTTTTCTGATCGTCTCTTCCATCTGGATATATCACTTGGTCTCGAAGTGTTCCTAGGGTCATATAAGGTCTCTGATAGTAGTAGAGCAAAAATCATTAGAAGTGAATTCTCAGAAAATAAATAGAAAGATCTTTAAACCAAAGATTACAAAATAACTCAAAGTCTTACCTGAGGAACATAAAATAACTTTCCTCTCTCAGGTTTAGTTAGGCGTCCTCCAAAAAGAGGCCATAACTATAAAAGGAAGGTGGGGAGGCGAGGAGCAGTTGTAAATTTCACAATGTGGTAGATTATATGGCAAAATAAAACTGCAAAATTTTCAGGTCAACTTGTACTTACTTCACCAAGAACACGGAAAAGTGAACTCTTCCCACAGCCATTTGGACCACAAATTAGAACGTTGGCCCCAGACTGAACCTGAAAGAAAATTAGTCTATGAATTAATTAAATAGAGTGAATATACACTCAATAAACATTTCCTTGGAGTCAGTTCTTTGCTAATGACAAACTTTCTATTTTGTCTATAAATGTAATACTAGGTAGAAGCAGTGGAGGGTATGGTTGAAGGGACCTTTTACTTTTGCTTACTTTCAAATTCTACTCATTTACCTATTTTCATTTAAAAATCATTATTGATTGATATCATCAACTTAATCTCAATCAGAATATAAAGAGCTAAAGCTTAAAAAAACCGAGGATTCTTGAAAACAATAAGTATGTGTATACAATCTTTTTTAAAAAAATGGAATTGTACTATTTATGTTCTACATTTGTCATTATTTAACAATCTATCAAAAATACGTCTTCCAGGTCAGTATATTCAAATTCCTCCCATTCCTTTTTTTAATGCCTGCAGTGTATTCCATAGTAAGGATGCACCATAACTTATTTAAATACTCCTCTTTTGTTGAATATTGAGGTCATCAGCATTTTGTTTTGCTCTTTTAGGTAATACTGTAATGAACCTCCAAGTCAGTGAGCAAATTTATACACTAGTGAGAAATGTTTCTATAGAAGAAATTCTTAGGAATTAGAAGTGTGGGATCAAAGTATATATGCATTATAAAAATTTACAAGTGCCACCCAATTGCTCTGCAATACTGTAAAGTTAAATGAGAAAATGTGAAGAGTAGTTAAGTTCTAAGCTTACAGTCATATAAATATGTGCTTACAGTCTTATATAAATATGTGTTAATCAACCCTGTGAAGAATCAGAAAACCTGGGTTATAATTATAGCTTACAACGTTACACAGCAACATATCACAGCAGGAAAGAAAACAACAGAGAGATACGAGTTACTCTAGCTGTGGAACCTGCCTTTCACAAATTTTTTAAAATGCTAAGCCTTAGGTTCCTGTTATTTAATTCAATGAATATTTATTGAATGCTCAGTGTCACGCTCTATTCTAGGCAATGGAGCTACATTAATGAACAAGAGACCAAAAAACCCCCAAAACAAACAAAAACCCAAACCCTGCCCTTACCAGTTTACATTCTAGTAAGAGAGACATACAATAAAGAATATGCATAACAAATGAGTAAATTAAATAGCATGTTAGGGGGCCAGCCCAGTGGTGCAGTGGTTAAGTTCGAGCCTTCTGCTTAGGCAGCCCAGGGTTCAGATCCCGGGTGCGGACCTACTCACCGTGGCTCATGAGGCCATGCTCAGGTGGTGTCCCACATAGAAGAGCTACAACTCTACAACTATGATACACAGCTATGTACTGGGGCTTTCAGGCGAAAAAAGAAAAAGAGGAAGATTGGCAACAGATGTTAGCATAGGGCCAATCTTCCTTAAAAAAAAAAAAATAGCATGTTAGAAAATAAGTGCTATGGAGAAAAAACAGATCAGGGTAAGGAAACTTGGGAGTGGGTGGAAGAGGCTGCATTTTTAAGGTGGTAAGGCCAGGCCTCAATGAAAATGACAACTGGGCAAAACTTTGAAAGAAGGTGTGAATTAGGAGTTTATCTGAAGGACGACTGTTCCAGACCCAACTCTACCCACAAAAAGCTGGTGCAAAGGCACTGAGGCAAGAATGTACCTGTCCTATTCAAAAAACAGAAAGGAGGCTGATTTGGCTGGAGAAAAATGAGCAGGAAGGAAGAGTAGAGGAAATGAGCTCAGAGGGGTAGGAGGTGGGGGTAGAGTAAGTGGCAGGTAAACCCTAAGGGCAGTGTAAGCCATTGAAAGGACTTTGGCTTTTACTCTGATGAAACGCAGAGCCATCAGCATTACTTACAATAGCCAAAAGGTGGATACACAAAATGTGGCATATGCATACAATGGAATATTATTCAGTCTTAAAAAGGAATGAAATTCTGATAATCGCTACCACATGGATGAACCCTGAAGACATCAGGTTAAGTGAAATAAGCCAGACACAAAAGGACAAATATTGGGTGATTCCACTTAGATGAGGTAACTGGAGTAGTTACAGTCATAGAGACAGAAAGTAGAACAGAGGTTACCAGGGGCTGGGGAGAGAGGCGAATGAGGAGTTATAGCGTAATGGGTACAGAGTTTCTGTCTGTTATGATAAAAAAGTTCTGGAGATGGTTAGTGGTGATGGTTGCACAACACTGTAAATGTACTTAATGCCACTGAATTGCACAGTACAAAGTAATCAAAAGGGTAAATTTTATGTTATACATATTTCACCCCAATAAAAAAAAAATTTTAGGGGCCTGCCCAGTGGCATAGCGGTTAAGGTCATGCATTCCACTTCAGTGGCCAGGGGTTCGCCGCTTCGGATCCTGGGCGAAGACCTACTCACCACTCATCAAGCCAGGCTGAGGTGGCGTCCCATATAGAAGAGCTACAACTCTACAACTATGATACACAACTATGTACTGGGGCTTTGGGGAGAAAAAGAAAAAGAGGAAGAGTGACAACAGATGTTAGCGCAGGGCCAATCTTCCTTGATAAAAAAAAAAAATTTTTTTAATGGTTGCAAGAGTAAATTTTGTTAAGTACATTTTTCCACAACAAAAAAAGAGGGAGAAGGAATGAGCTTTAAAAAAACGATTGAGTTTCTAGCCTTCCACATAGCTGATCTACAATAAAATACCACATCTTATGCACATCAGTGTTAGAGAATGAACTATTCTGATTGACTCTGCCAGATGAATGAACTGTCTCTTTTTCTGAAAAATTATTTTAAAGCATGGACTTCTTTCTAAGCAATTACCTATCTCCTTTTCCTGTAAAATTGAATATAATGATTATTCCTGATAATGCAAGGTTATTACATACAATAATTTTACTCTACTATAATAGTGATGTCCTTAGAGGCGCCTAAAGTTCAGAAAGCTGTTAATTAAATGGTTCATTACTACTGTGCTTTATTTGGGTAATGTCAGTCCTATATATCTTTTTCTGCCCTTAACTGTTCATTGTGGTTTTCACTGGTATCCAATACTTCTCCACATTATTTGTTGCAATATGCCAGGAAACCCAAAAACCAAGTTTGTAATAATGTGTAAAAATAACAACTAGACATCCTTAGGTACTCTCTTATGCTCAAATGTCTTAGATTCAGCATTAACTTTTCTTTACTCCATGGCTTTTGGTAATGTTGGACAAAACTTCCAATTATGACATCAGTCACAGCGAGCCAATGATAATTTTTCCACATTAAAGATTTATAAAAATATATTTTTTTTCTGGGTTGAATTAAGCCGAAAAGCCAAGGGTAACTGTCACGGAAAATTAACTTCTTAATAACACTATACCATTTTTGAGGCCCCTGGATAGGTTTAATGGGGCAATGAATGCTTTGAACCACATTTTTACCAATTAAAATATTCCCCCAGAAATAACACTTTTGTTGATAAATCCTACTTCCTATTAATTTACCATAATAAATCATCAAAAAATCCTACACACAAATATGATTTACATAAAAGAAATTATATAAAAGTATGCTGTTTATGAAGATTTGCAGGCTTCTTTAAACATTATAAATGTGCCTTACTAAAAAGGTAAAAATTTAAATAAACTACAAAGTACTATTTTGACAACCTACACGTTGTTAGCTTTTAGGGTGTTCAGTCTATAGATAGATAAATACGCCTGTGCGGGAGGAGTTCATAAAGGAATAAGGTATAAAATCTCCTTCCAAAGAAGCTTATATTATTTGGTTATTATGTAACCCAAAAGACAAAGTAATCGTAAAGCAGGAAACGTTTATTTTTAGTGGCCAAGTCTGTTTTATTATGCCTCTTTCCAAGAGAAAGGAATCTTTATTTTCAAGTGAGCCAGATGGGTAGAAAATAATCGAAGGTTACAAAAGACCAAAGAATGTTTGTTGAATAAAAGAAAGCTATGTTAAGAAAAATGTAAGAAAGACAACATAAATGAGAAAAGCCAAGTCTAATTTAAAATACCTTAAGCCAGAAAGAGACAGAAGAGGAATTCATTCCAGTCAACCAAAAGGACAGAAATCAAAGACACAACTCCCAGTGGAGGGGAAAACAAAACAAGAAAACAAAACAAGAATCACAGGGACAACAAGTGGGACGGAACACGGTCATGAAGTAAAAAACTTGAACTAGTAGGGGTGTCACTGGAGACTCAAATACAACTTTCCAAATAAGACAAAAAAAGAGCAAAAGAGCAGGGGCCTTTCTCAGACTATGAAAGTGAACTTATAGGAACCGGCCAGAGTATATTAAATCCAAACATGAGGCTTTAAAGAGAAGGGTTTTTAGACTAAATAGAAAGCGACAGCTTAGTGTGGTAACCTTATGACAAAATGAATAATATCACAGACCATCATCATGATATTCCATGTATCTGGACTCACAGATCCCAAATCCCTTCTCACCATGCTTAAGCCATGTGTGCATCTGTATTGTTGGTGAATCTATTTCTGCATAAAGACAGTGAGGAAAAGCAGGAGAAAGGGCCAAGAGGATTCTTCAAAGCGGAAATCACATGGCCACTTCACCCTTGGGTTGTGGCAGTAAAGGGGCTACTGGAAATCTAACAAAGGTGGAGTTGTGAGCTCTGTTTTAACCCTGAAATCAAGCCTGATGGGTGGCTACCTACTGTGTCAAGGGAGCACACCAAATTGACTGAAGTACCAGAGCCAAATGAGAAAACACTTCTGTAATACTTGCAGTCATTCAATATTTACCAACTATATTTAAATCTTCTCTACTTCCTCTTGTGTTACCTGGCTTTAAAATAAATATGATAATGTACTACACTCACTGTTGAATAAGTTCAAAGTACTCCGCATAACTAACATTTTTAATTTTTATAGTTCCTTAAAAAGTGGAGATGTACTTAATAAATATACATTACTAAGAGTAGAAAAATTGAAGACTTACCTAAGATTTTAAAAATTTAAAAACAAATCCAATAATTATGCTCTGTATTTTAGAAACTATCGTACAACATTCCTTTGATGAAAGCAGTTGAAAAGAATCCCAGCATCCAACACAAATTACAGAAAGCCACATACATAAGCACAGGGAGAGGAATTCTAAAGCTGCGCTAATACAGCAGCTACTAGTCACATGTGGCTATTTAAGATCAAATTTATTAGAAATTAAATTCAGTTCCTCAGTTGCACTAGCCACATTTCAAGTGTTCAGTATCCACATGTGGCCCCTACATTGGACAGCACAGAAACAAAACATTTCCATTATTGCAGAAAGTTCTATTGGACAGTGTTGTTCTGGAGAAATGATATCCAGAACTGGGGAGACAGCCTATGTGATAGGAATTTGTTAGTGATCTTTAAGAATTTCAGGTCTGAACTACACACAAAGCCACGATAGACACATAACCTAAATCATAATCCTCAGGTTTGCAAGAGTCTTAGAAATCATACAAAAATACTCATCTTTTGCTTTCTCTTTTTAATTTGGCCTGCCACATTCCCAGTGGCTAACAGACTACTGAATTAGCACCACTCTTCGCTGGCGTGGGATGTTCCTTGTTTTGGGTGAGTGGCTATCTGTGGTGCTATTATGCTGCTCCTCCACTGTTTTCAGTAGTAATAAGTCTATCTTTTATTTTTATAGTTTTGTTTTATGTGACCTCCTGCACAGTCAAAACAATACCAAACCATAATTTTCAGAAATTAAACAGACTAAAATTATATTTGCATGTTTAAATATTCATTCTACATTGGAGATTCCAATTGTCTCTCCTATGGCTTTCATGAGATGGACTTCATTTGCAAAAGATTTTTTGATAGTAATATTTGAACAATTAAAGTCCTGTCAATTAAGAAAAACAGATTTCTAAGTGTTTCAAAGACTTACTTTTTAAAGCGATTTTGTGGATTCAGAGACTAAGTCAAACCTTAAAATTATTTAAAATATCCCGACAACAGTTTTGTATTTCACATTTTGAAGATGATTTAGCTTTTATACAATCATTTAAAAACTTACTTCAAAATTAAGGTCTTGGATCAAGATATCTCCATTTGGCGTTGCTAAAGGAACATGATCAAATCTAGAGAGGAAAGTAAAAAGAGGACAATTTTACATTAAACACTAAGCAAATGTAGCTGAAAGAGAAAGGCTACTATGTAGTTTAACAAATATTTATAATATTAAAGAACCTTTTTCTGTACATACTTTATAATGTTATCAGCATTAATGATTTCTCCAACACCAGGTATCAAGGGAATGACTTGTGCTCCTTCAGTACCTTAAAGGGAAATAAGTATTAAAGCATCATATTATGTCAGCAAACACTTAATTTATGTGACCTAGTACACTCATATTTACCCTTTTCCTGTTGCGAGACCATTGTGCGTTCATATTTGCCATGATTTAAATCCTTTAGTACTTGCATTAATTCTGTAATCCGAGCAGTAAAACTGAAATTAAAAAAGAAAAAGAAAGCCATAATCAAAACTCAAAAGGCTATCATATCTTTTATTTTTATATTTATTTATTTACTTGAGATATAATTGACACATATTGTGTAAGTTCATATCTTCTATTTTATACAAACTGAAGTTTCTAAAATTATAATTTAGTTTAAATGAAATAACCTAAAAGAAGTCTCATCAACATAAAGTATTAGTGATAGTATGCATGTTTTAATATTGCGTTTAAGTAGGAGAGCAGGAACATGGGAATAAAAGAGAAGAGGTTTCAGAGGATCCTTACTTCAACAGATACTTACTTCATGAATAGGTAAGTCAAGAAGGTTGTTTGCTTCTAGAATTTTAAGGAAGCTTCCTGTAGATACTACAAAAGGACTAGCGCTAGTGCATTTCTTCGACCCAAGAAGTATGGACCCTGAGCTCCTGCACTCTGGGCTACAAAGCCATGTACAAAGTTGGGCTCTATCTGAGGAAGGCAGTTATTACATGTATACCAAATGCATGCTACCTCCCTGCAAATATGGAAGAATTTGGAAGATTCTTCTCTTTCTTACCCTGAAGACGGAAAACGATGAAGTGCTGTTAACTGATGGAAATCACTGTGGCAACAGAGAGAAATCAAAAGTAATGACAAGAGGTTGAGGAGTATAAGAATGACCTGATGGTCAAAGAGAAAGCACTCTACGTCAGAGAAGCAAACAGGATTTGCCTGTGAATAAGAAGCAGAAACCTTCCTAAAGGAACAGAAAAGCACCCCACATGCCATGAACTATAAAGGCATGAGAAAGGTTATCAACAAGTAGGAAAAATGTCAGCATTCTCAAGAGAAAGAGATGACTCATAGTAGTTTACAACTTCTCCTGTCTTGACAGAAGATAGAAGATCTTAACCACAGGAGAAGAGAAGAAAGAATAAAGAAGAGGAAATGTGCAGACGAATTACAGGCCTAGGAAAGATCTTGTCATCCAATTTCTTCAGATGACCTGAAACTTAAGCTGCTTTTTTACATTATAGTGTTTTTTTACAACATACCAAGCCCTTTATATTAGAGCCTGAAATATTTAATCCCATTTTATGGTCTAAGAACAATTTTACTAGACAATATGACCATATTTAGAACTGCACCTACACATACCACAAGATAACTTTTCATTTTTTTGCATTAAAATCAACTTCATCTTGGTTCATCTTTTGCTAGGTTGCCAGTATCAAAGATCTAAGAAAAAAAAATGTATGGTGGGGCATAAAAAAGTTCAAATGACAAAATTCTATTCCTTAATTTAATTTTCTATGAATTAAGAAAAGATTGCCATGATTTAACATTTCCCAACTTATCTAATGCCAGTGTCCATGAAGCAGACAGCTTGAGAACCGCTAACTTAGTTTAAGGCTCAAAACAGCTATCTTAAGGAAACATGAAAAGTTCACTATCAGAGAAAAATCTTCCTTAATTTTCTATCAAAACCAGCTTCCAGGAGTAGGAAATGGGGCTTCAGTTGCCCCTTATCTTACCCTCAACTGGGCACAATCAAGTCATTAAGGATAACATAGTTTTAAAAATTATACTCTGCAATTGCTCATTATTACTAATATTACTTACCCAGCCAATCTAGTCATTTCACGGCCAGCCAAGACTATTCGACCCAAAGCTTGGGACATTCGTAAAAGCATTCTTCCACTTTGGTAGTAATCCTAAACAGAAATAAATATTAATTTTCACTGACATTTCTAAGAGTAAAATGTAGATTTTCTTTACTTTTATATTTTATACTGTTACTTTTATATTGAAATTTTCAATTTATTATGATTACTACTACTTTACCTCCAGAAGTTCTGAATGTGTACTCCTGACATGTCGAGGATGAGACAAATCTAGGAAAGGACGACTGACAACTACATAACCAACTACAGTGGCAAAATCTGAAACAAAACAGTTAAGACTTAAAACAATAATAGTCCTCCACTTTTTCCGCAGATCCCATCCCGCCACCTCTTTTTTTTTTTGGTGAGGAAGATTAGCCATGAGCTAACATATCTGTTGCCAATCCTTCTCTTTTTCCTGAGGAAGATTGGCCCTGACCTAACATCTGTGCCCATCTTCCTCTACTTTATATGTAGGACGCCTGCCACAGCATGGCTTGATAAGTGGTGCGTAGGTCCATGCCTTGAATCCAAACCTGTGAACCCTGCGCCACCAAAGCAGAGTGCATGACCTTCACCACTACACCTCTGGGCTGGGCCCCTGCCACCTCTTTTAAAACCTACTTACATTTGGCGATGATGCTATCGATGAAACCCATAGAAAACCGAAATAAGATGAAATTATGTAGGTGCTCCACCTGGCAGAAAGCAAAAACAAAAAATATGTATTTTCTATGTATAAAAAAAATGAATCTACTATGAGGATAAAAGAAATTGTACAATTTATTCAACAAATATTTACTGAGTGCCTATGATTTCTGATTATATTATACATCACATTTCATTGAGCACAAGGCTGAGGAAGTGCCAAACTTCATGAAACCATTTTTATGCAAACAGAATGGAAATTACATAAAGAAAAAGAATGTTAACGTGGTGTCCCTTGCATATAATAGTACAATGATATTGTATTCACAATACTGTCAGACACACATATGCTAAAACTGATCAATAATCAAAATAAAAAGAACAGAAGAATGAGCTAATTTAGGCGAAACACTAGCTGTCCAGACTGGCACTCAGTGCTTTGCTTTAGCTGGAGACGTCTGGTCTGAGCTTTCTCTAAGAATTATATTTCACTCTGAACCAAGCACTAATGGAAACCCATGCTGCTCAGCCCGAGACTGTAGCTCTAATCCTTGCATGTATAATCTCAAAATTACAAGTCAGAAAATGTTTTTTATTCCGCATTTTTAGTGTTCTCGAATTTTCCATCTATCAGATTATTCAAGGCCCCACATGATCCAGCACTGGGCTCTATCTTAAACCTCATCTGCTTCTACTTTGCTCCTTCTCACTGAGCTCCAGAAACACTGGTTCCTCAAACATGTTCTCACCTTAAGGCTTTCCTCGTGCTGTTCTCTCTGCCAGGAATACCTAAATATTTATATTTTGTGACTAACTCCCTCACCTCACGTGGGGTTCTGATAAAATGCCACCTCCTCAAGAAAGACTCTCTTGCCATCCTAGCTAAATCAGCCAGGCAACAGCCCCCATCAGACTGTACCGCTTCAGCCCATTTTATTTTTGATCACAGAATTCATTACCGCCTGAAATCATATAAAATATCCAGTTGTTTAAATGTTTATTGTCTCCTCCACTAAACTGTGGGTTTCCTGAGTACAGAGTAGCTTGCTCTTACTATTTTCTGCAAAAGAACAATAGCTGGAACATTTATTCAACAAACGCCATGTATTATATACTGTGCTCAATGCTGGAAATACAAGAATGAATAAAACAGACAAGATCCCTGAGCTCATGGAGTTTACATTCTAATGAAAGAGACAAACTAGTAAACCAACGAGATAATTACAAATTGCAATATATACTTTTAAGGAAACAGATCATTAAAATGGGAAGGAACTGGTGGAGGCCATTTCAGATAGACTAATCAGAGCAGGCAAGGCCTCCAGCAGGTGATAACTTTTGGGCTGAAATCTAAAGGACAGGAATAAGCAAGCCATGTGAAGAACGAGCCAGTGAACAACAGTCTCCTGGAAAATTACCTTAAACGCATTTTATCAGTGAGCATGATCCAAGTTCAGTCTTGTTAAATATAAATAAGGCAAAAATGCAATTTCTGAAATAACTTAAAATGACAACTTCTTTAATCTTTTTAAATCACCTCAAATATATATTTAATTTCATAAACATCCACTAAAATTAAAGGCAGGATTTTGTCAGTCAAGCTCATCCATTACAACTAGCACCTGGAACAAGTATAAGCACCTGGATGGCACTCAGTATCTTTTGAATGAATAATGAATTACTTGAATTCAAATTTTCTAAGTGGCAAGTTAATAAAAACTGAAGTATAGTTTTTACAAGGAACAATGTTTATATTCTAAATCAAGGGTCAGGAAACTATGGCCCACAGTCCAAATCCAGTTGGCTACTTATTTTTATAAATAAAGTTTTATTAGAACATAGCCACCACCACTCATTTACCACAGTATATGGCTACCTTTGAGCGGTAGAGTTGAACAGCTGCAATGGAGACCATAAGACCTGAAAACCCTAAACTATATATGTACTATCTTGCCCTTTAAAGAAAGAGTTTGCTGACCCCTGCTCTAATAATCTTCACAGTATTTTCACGAAGGCTACAGGAACAAATTCTTTCTGTAGAAATCACTAAATTTATCACTAAATAAGACTCCTAAGCAACATCTGTAAAAATACACTGACAATTATTTTAATAAATCCATCCATTTTTTTAACTGGGCAACTTAATATATGGATGTGATAGTTTTTATTCTCATATTTTTAAGAAAAAATCCTTTATAGTTATTTAAAAATAAATATTTTAAAGACTAAAGATACATACACACACACACACACACACACACACACACACTTGGTATAGACCAAAAAAAAAGTCTTTCCATAAATACGTGAGCTTCAAGCATGTTACCTTACCAGTTTTCGAAAGACTGAGTAGATTGTCTGCTTTTCTCTTTTATTCCCATTGTAAAAGGCAACCTCTTCACTGTTAAAGAAAATAATTTAGCAATTAATTTTAATGTTACCTAAGCCTGAAAAATAACTGAAATATAGTATTTGACGACTGAATATTTGTATTTAAATGGACATTTTGTGACTAAGAGCTTATTGGGTGCATGTCAAGCCATGGTCTATACCTAGCTCCGCTGACTGGAGCACAGGAATACACACCTGACTGGATCATAGACTGGACTGCAACCATATGTTGCACATGCCCCATGTAGCCTGGCTGGAAAGGTGTGCTGGGCTAATTCTCAGAAATTTGAATAAAGAAATAAGAAAGAAGTTGCCATGATATACAGGAAGGCAGGGCTGTGACAGCCATTATAGACTACAAATTGAATACAGACCCAGAGAGGTGGGAGAGGACAAAACAGCTCTAAAAACATAAGTAGCAATGCCATGATATACAGCCTTTGAAAGACAGAAAAGCAAACTAAGTCTTGATGGCTTCACAGTGCCAGCTCCCAGGAGGCCTAGCTGCATAGTCATTCTTATTCTTGGAATTCCATCATATCCTCACAACAACTCTCTTTTCTTGAGCTGGCTTGAATGAGTCCACAAGGGCCACAAAGATCTTGACTAGGAAAAAAAAAGGCATTTTTATAGATGAAGAAATGTTCAGTGTAGTTAAGTAAATCTGCAAAAGTCAGAGCTAGCAAGTCAAGCAGCTGAGATGTTAACTCATATCTGACCCTAAAGTCTTGTCTTTCCACTCTATTCAGTATGATGTGAACTTTCCCAGCAAAGTACTTCTTACAGCAGAGGAAAGTAAAGATTTACATAGGAGCCTAGAAGGCACAGTTAAAACAGCCTTCAATAAACACTCAATATTTCTTTGAAGTGTCTTTTTTCTCTTAAAATTTATGTAAATTTTATATTCTACTCCAAAATGTACCTGTGTTTTTTTCCATCATAAAAAACAAGGCAGTTCCTACCTCAACCCCTTGAAGCAAAATTAACTTTCCAGAAAGATGAATCATGTTTGACCTGTGCGTCACAGTTTCCTTGACACAATGATACCCCAGGGTATCAGATTCCCAGTTTAAGAAACACAATTCTTGGGGCCGGGCCCGTGGCTTAGCGGTTAAGTGCGCGCGCTCCGCTGCTGGCGGCCCAGGGTTTGGATCCCAGGCACGCGCCGACCCACCACTTCTCCGGCCATGCTGAGGCCACGTCCCACATACAGCAACTAGAAGGATGTGCAGCTATGACATACAACTATCTACTGGGGCTTTGGGGGGAAAATAAATAAATAAATCTTAAAAAAAAAAAAAAAGAAAGAAAAAGAAAGAAACACAATTCTACACCTCTAATCACTTTTCTTACTTCTTATGTACATTTAAGCCTATGGAGGAAGATGAGGTGAGAATTATACTCCTGAGCTAAGTCATTTTAGCTCCAATCTAAAATCTGAAAGGACAGAACATCTTAGAATGTTGATGGCTGCCTATCCAGCATCTGTTCTCTTCCACGTTCTTCTTCCTAAGAGAATTCCAATTTTCTTAAAATTATCTATCCTTTCCTGTGCACCCAAATGGTTTAGGAATGATCCAACCCCATCCACAGTGGATGAGTTCCAACTGGTCTAAGCCAATCACTTTGCTGTAATTGCTTTAGGCATGGGCAAGTGCTAATTCTATCCAATGAGATGTGAAAGAAAGTCTGCTGTGGGGCTTCTGGGAAAGTTTCCTTGCTCTCTTCAAGAGACAACAGAAGAGATGGCCTGTTTTTGTTTTGGGACTTTTTTCAGGGGAAGAGGCTTGGTGAGATCCGGAACTGCTTTTGCCATCTTATGATCACAAAAAGAATTAGCCTGAGGAAAGGGGCAACATACAAAGGAAGGCAGAGCCAAGAGAACATCAAAGAAGAGCCAGAGCCTTGATCATGCTACACCTGGAACTGCTCTACCTTAAGAGTTCTTACTGAAGTACTAAATGTCCTTATTGTTGGAGCCACCTGAGTCAGAGTTTTCTGCTTCTTGCAATAGAAAGCACCCTGGCTGATACCATCTTTCATTCACTTGGCAAATCACCTCTCTACTCAACCATCTATTCCTCTGCCTCCCTACAGCAAAAAACTCTATTTAAAACTGGTACCATTTTAGCAAGCCAATAAAGGAAGACGGAACTGTTAAGAGAGTAATTTCCTAAGTAATTTTGTAAATGCCTATAGGGTAGTAAATAAATATTAGGACTCTCAAAATGACTTAGGCTGACAGCCAATATATGAGAAAATTTATTGAGCACCTGTTACATATTAAAAACTGCACTGGAAGCTTTATATATATTTCATATTTAATCCTCACAATGACCCTGCATTATCTACCTATTATAAACAAGTAAAGTAAGGCTATAAATAACTTGACGAAAGTCACATAATATATAATTGATAGGTAGAGGAGGTAGATTTTGGAAGTAGTCAGGCTGGCTCCAAAGCCCAATACTTTTTCTTCCTATTCTGGATTTTTAAACTATTTGGAAAATAGGGAGAGACATGTAGTAAGAATGAATTACTGAGTATTCCAAACATAATCTCAAAATAAAAATATTTGTGGATAAACTTAGACAAAATTTTCTTTGAAGAAGGAAGCAAATTTGAATTGTATTTGACTATGTTTAAAGTGAAATTAACAGAAAATTAGTCAATAAAGACATGAAGAGGGGAATCAGGGATACTACACAGTTAAAAAGAAAAAGGGTTAGAAATGTGGAGGATTACTACTTTATAAAACTGATATCCTTCATAACGTATATTTTCAAAAGAGGTAAATACACATAATTTCAGAAACAGTGTTACTAGACTACTAAACAGTGTTACTAGTCAACTTACATGACATCAATATCCATAAAAATGAATTTTTAGTACAGCTAAATGCATTTAACACATTTCTCCATACCTGTTTGTGATGAGCCGAGAATTAACGTATCTATACTCTCCTTCATACTTTTGCTCAGTTACTGTCATCTTACCAATGGGTCTTCTAAGTCGAGTTAGCAATAGCCCAGAAACAAGCAAGTAGGCCATCATGCTTGCTGGGCCCTATTATTATTGGGAAAGAAAGATATACAAAGTTCAAGGATATCATAATAAATTCACTGGATGCAACATGCACAATTTCTTTAATTAACTCCAGTGACCGAGAGAAACTGCTCTTGACTAATTTTTTTCCCTTGTTTCTCTTGTGAGAAAATACACACTAGGCCTCTATGCTTTTACTACTCATCTATTCCTCCCACCACTTCAGCTCATCCCCCAGCTCTCCCAAATTTGCTCTCCTAAAAACTCCGAACTGCAGTCCTCAATCTCTCTATGGCATCTAAAGCTCTTCTGATGGAACTCTTCTGGATATTCTCTTAAGATTCCACAATAACTCTCAGATCTCTTTTTCACCTTCACTTTGAATGTTAATATTCCTTGAGGTTTCTTCCTTACTGCTCTTCTCCTTCCAAATTTATATCTCTAATCCCAACACTTAAAAATCTAAGATATTATTTCCAAAGAAGTACTCTGTAGAGCCTCAAGCTCAATTCCCCTAAACAAGCTCAATCTGCCTTTCCCTTCTCCTACATCTTACTGCCAGCTGCTGTACTTTCTAAGTTGGTAAGTGACCTCATCACCCATTAACCATTCCAAGAGAGAAGCATCAGGCTTACCTTTCTAAGCTCATAGCAGGCACTTCCCTCATTCCCATATATATCCTATGCTCTGCCATCCTGACATAATTGTTTTTCCTGAACATGCCATTCAGTGAAGTTGTTCTTATGCCTGGCAAGCCTGACATATTTAATGGACACCTAACTCATCCTTCTCAAAGCAGCTCAAATATCACCTCCAGTTCTCCCAGACACTAAATACTTTATTCAAACTTCTATTACTGGACTTATCACTCCTCATTATAATTGCCTGAATATCTACCCTTTCAACAGATAGTAATCCCTCATCAGAAAGAACAGTGTCTTACTCATCTTTTTATTCCTACTACTTGGCACAATAGGTGTGGAATATAGTGTGTATTCAACATTTTTTGAATCACATGTGATTGATGCAACGCATTTCAACAATTACTGCAAATATGGGCAAAAGAGATAACTAAAATGTAGTTCCTATTTTCAAGAAATACAGAATCAGATAATTGGAATACATGAAGATATATTTAAGTATTATAAAAACATAATAAGCACCATAAAAATATTACAGCATAGAGACAAGAGGGATTAGGCATATTCACTTGCTTCTAGTAAAAACAAGCTATAAGAATGATTAAACCTGGATCATGGGATAGCAAAAGGTTAAGAAGACAAACAAGAAAATTCAAATAAAAAACTGCTTCCCCCAGTTTTTTGGAAAGGAACAAAAACCACTATATAAATTATTTATTAATCAACTACAAAATGTATATACATACACATGTACATACATACATAAGACAACTGCACTATTATACGATTGTGTTATAAATATATAACAGTAAAATTACATATTAAATGACTAAAGCTAGACTTCAATCAATGAGAATACTCAAAGAGAATGTAAAGGTCATTCTTACCAACACAAATATCAGAGAGACAGGCTAATAAGGTTCATGAGATACTCAACAATATATATACTATTATATTCTTGAAACTGTTATAGCCATTTTAAAGGTATTTCTGATATTTTAACCTTCAAATTTCATATTAAAATGGCTGTCTCCAATCTCCTTTTAGACATTACTTTGCCACAATAAGTACGTGTATGTTCAATGTTTAAGCACTTCTGGTTATTAACGACACAAAATTTTCCCAAGTATCTGACTTAACGAAAATTAAAAAACCAAATTAGAATACCTTTTAAATCTCTAGTACAATATTTTTTTATAACCAGATTCTATTAGGTACGCATTGTAAAAACATGTTTTTGAGATATACAAACAATCGTACAAACCATCCAGCTATTCACAACACAGTATTACAGTGATTTAAAAGATAAAATAAAAGTAAACTCACCTGAGCTCCTATCGCACTCGTTAGCTTGAAGATATACAAAACTATGTCTAAAAATGGCTGTAAAATAAATATTAGAAAGCACAGAATTAGCAGATCGGTAATCTACTAGGTAATCGAGTATTGATTGCCTAGATTGATAGCTAATACACCACGTTAAATACAAAATGCGATTCAACATTTAACACATAATTGTCGACATGTAGAGTTCCCACTGTGTATAATGTGTTATAACAGCATGTAGATCAATGAGTACATAAGACACAGTTTTATGCTAAAGAAACTGACAATGGAGACCAATGTTTACTGACCAGTGAGAAAAACATTTATCACTTTCCATCAACTAAGGTAGTTCTACTGCAATAATTAACTATTAGTAACTCAGTAATTTCTCATGTAGTGTAAAAACACTGAATAAAATGACCTGAGTTGTAACCCCAAATCTGCTACCAGCTTTTCTGGTTTCTATAGTACCTTCATCTGTAAAATGAGGGTCTTCCTGATCTTAATATTGTTTGATTCTATTACTTTATCACAACATCTATATGCTGAAATAATTGAATAAACCTATGAATCTAATTTTCTGATATAAAACTCAAGCTTCTAGAACTAAAATAATACATTACCGCACTGCTCCTCACACAGAGAGACAACTCAACTGACAAACTAAAAGTTGTACATATTCTGAAGTGTTTTTCAAGAAACCCAAATTGTGTTCATTCACTTTGGTGAACTGCTCTCCACTGTCAGTTTCTTTGAGTCTATAGCCACCCCCTTCTAACGTCTGCATTATTACTAGGATACGCAGCTTGGTTTACTAATTGGCTAGTACTAAGATGAATCTTTTCTTTTTTGCCTCATAAATTATCAAGAAGCTAGACATACTTATAAAATTCCAGGACATTCAAAAGTTATTGACAAAAATAACATCTCATAATTTAAGTCAGAATTCAAACAATTAGATATTTTAAAAAGAAAATTGTAGTTTATATAGCACTACAATTAATTAATTTAATATTTTTCTCTATTGCAGATGTGACAAAACCTGAGCTATAGACTTGCTCAAGTGCCAAGATGTCAAAAATATATAACAATGTCTACAGAATTACATGAAAAATTTCATATACCACCCCCGCCACCACCACACACACACACACACAACAAACTTTAAAATGTGGTAATAGGAGCAGAAAAGAAAGCTGAATTACTAAACAATTTGTAGCTGTCAAAGTTCCCAGAGTTTAGGATCAGTTAGCAACGCTTCTGGAGAGCTGAGTAAAGAACAAAGACTGGCATGAAGTGAAAAGGTATCTTAGTAGTGGGCCTATCACAAGGGGAAAGCTCTCACAGATACATATCATTTTTCCAAGAACCGCCTATCCTTCCTCCATCCACATGGTTGAGTGGGAGCATTCCTAGTCTTACAATGTGACCCAGCCCCTTGTATATAGTTTTCTGTCTCACGACTAGATATCTGGATTAATTGTGACCAACGGTAAAGATACTATAAGTTCCCATCCCAGACCAAGAGCAGTCATGTGGATTGGAGTGGGAAACGGGAGATCTAAGATGGAGAGGGAAAGAAATGCCGAGTAGACAATCTTATAGGTGCCCACTACGTGTTCTAGTCAACACAGGAGGTAATGGCAAAGCAGATGGCTTAACGAGAAGACTGTAGCAAAAGCTGTGAGGGTGGGGAGATAAGATGAGTAAGATAAGTAAGAACTGAGAAAATCAGCAGGAAGAAAACTGGTTAAGGCCTATCATCAGAGTCAAGAACTTTGGCAATATTCTTGGAAGAGGGAGAAAACAGTAATTAGAAAACTGAAATAAACTAATATCTTGCGAAAATTTTTTGACTAACTGCTTAAATGATCTATTAGAATTAGAGATACTACAGCAGAGAAATGAGAAAAAAAAGTCCTAGCCTTGTGTTATAGACGTGGAACTGAAAATACAAATGACAGTCAATTTCTAACAATTGCCAAAAGTACACAGGGCAAAAGATAAAAATTTAAATTTGTTGCTTTGCTGAAATCAGCCTATAAAATCCATATAAAATCTGTATATAAGACACTAAATTCTCAGTTCTTGGCCAAAGCATCGCACACAAATAATATAAAAATTAAATAACTATAGTTGAAACTATTGTAACAATTCTAATTTTCTTACAAAAGCATTAAATATTTATATGCTGCTATGTCCTATAAATCAATTCTATATAAATTTGCTTAGATTCAAAATTCAACAAATTAACGAATAATAAAAAAAAAAAAGAGAAACTTACCTTACTAAGATTTGAATACAGATCAACCACACTGTTACAAAACTTTTCTACATCTTGTGTAAGCAGCTGGTCTGGATTAGCTATTCTGTTGTCCAGATTTCCCATTTTATAATATGTGAAAGCTCTAAAATAGCAATAAGAAAATGACTTTAAAACAAATGATTTTAAAAACAAGCAAAATCACATTATACTACGTAGTGCAAATTCACAGAAACAGAGAGGTTTAGAGCTGGAAGAGGCCCTAAAGATTGTCCTAATTTATTTTAGAGATGAGGAAGAAAGTCTAGAGAAGGATGACTTGCCAATTAATGGAAGAGCCAGGATAGATTCCAAATAGCTGAAGTCTTTCCCTATATGTTTCTGGGCCTAAGAGCAATTTTCTTGAAAAACACACCCAATAAAAAAGAAAAACTTGCACAACTCAATATCTTAAGTATTACTATTCAATGTAAGTATTTTTAATTAAAAAAAAAGGTTATCACTTACTGGAGATATTCCTCATAGAGGTATTTAGTTAGTCTTACTCGGAAGCACAGTTTGAGTTCATTTAACCCAAACTTCAAGAAGTTATTAACCAGAGAGATCTAAAACAAACAAACAAACACATATTATTGGTTTTGCTTCATTTCTACTTACTAAATTATCATTTATTTCTCTATCATTGGCTATGTTCACAAATCCTATGATTTTTATAATTGATAGTCCAAATTGATATAATTCAGTGCTATTTTACTTAAAAATTACAAAGATGCAAAGAGAACATGCTAAACCAAATGCAACTGGTTTATATATTATAAACCTATATTACTTGCTTTGTTAAAATTCACTTGGAACTTAGTTTTAGAATATGTTAATATAATTAATTATGAGAAGCATCTTGCTACCTTTTTTTCTGTAAACAAACTAAAAGCCAAATCTGCCCCCTTTCTATCCAATGTAAAGGATTTGCTTTTAGGAGTTCTGACATTTATGAGTCTATCTTCTGTTTCCTACTACCAGCACTACAACCCTAGACAATGGAATTCTATATGCACGGTACTTGCATTTGTTAAAAAAAAATACTATAAGTTTTAATGCTATTTTCCAGATTATTTCTAGAGTCATCCTTACTACTCTTTCCCATCATTATATTAAAATTAATTCTAGGGGCCGGCCTGGTGGTGCAAGTGGTTAGGTGTGCGCGCTCTGCTTCGGCGGCCCGGGGTTCGCAGGTTCGGATCCCAGGTGTGCACTGACGCACCACTTGTCAAGCCATGCTGTGGTGGCATCCTACATAAAGTGGAGGAAGATGGGCATGGATGTTAGCCCAGGGCCAATCTTCCTTAACTGAAAAAAGAGGAGGACTGGGGATGGCCCCATGGCATAGCGGTAAGTGCGCACGCTCCACTGCTGGCGGCCTGGGTTTGGATCCAGGCGTGCACTGACGCACCGCTTGTCAGGTCATGCTGTGGCGGCGTCCCACATAAAGTGGAAGAAGATAGGCACGGATGTTGGCTCAGGGCCAGTCTTCCTCAGCAAAAAGAGGAGGATTGGCATGGATGTTAGCTCAGGGCTGATCTTCCTCACACGCACAGACACAAAATAATAATTCTTCCATAGTTCTGAGGTCACATTCACATAAAAATTTTCTCAAGAAACACTGGTCTTCTGCTGAATCTCAATCTTTGAAAGATATGCTGCTTATCTCAACTTTTTATTTTAAAAGGTCTAAAAACCATGTACGTCTATCCTCGAGCTTTATTAAATCTATACTTTCTAATTAATTGGGTTTTACAACCAAGCTCCTCCTTTTTACTTCTACATTTATAATACTAAAATTCTTATACTGACAATAAAATAAAGAACCAAGTTAAGAAAATCACTTATATTTAAACCAAACACTTTTATTTTTAATAAATTCAGATAATACATTCCAATTTAAAGCACATTAGTGGTTCAAATTATTATAATAGTTTATGGCCTAAAGCAAGGATTCTCAACCAAGGTGATTTTGCCACCCCCCACCCCCTCCCCGCCTCAGCCCTCATGGGACATTTGGCAATGTCTGGAGACATTTTTGGTTGTCACAACTGGGCCGGGGGCTGGGGGCGGGGTACTACTGCTGCATGCTACTAAACATTCAAGAAACCCCAGCCTAAAGGTTAAAAAAAAAAAAAATCCACATATGTATACATCCATATATGTATACAAATAAATTGAACCAAACATAATTCCTCTTAATTTTTCTATTTAGTGTAAAGATTCATATTGAAAAATTCTGCTGTAAGCTACAAAACTAAACTCGAAATAGGAACTTTGTATCATAAATCTTTAAAGAACTTAATATGTAAAATCCTTGAAGATTTTAGTACAATGCAATTTTTTCCCTATGTGAAGATTTTTAAAGAATTACACTTACAAGAGGCATGGCAGCGATGAAGTTGAATAAGTATCTCTGGAAATCTTTTCTGCTACGACCAATGATACCACTGCAAACCACCACATGCAATGCATTAGTTGCAAAAGAAGCAACATTTAACACCAAGAAAACTTCTGTAAAGCTCAATTACTCTTGAAAATTTTTATTGACTCAAAAGAATCAGTAAGAAAAAAGATGGTAAAAAACATTTTCTTATAAAAACACGTTCCAACTTTTGAAATTTTATCTTTTTAAACAGCTTGCATGAAAATCACTCTATAAACAGCAAAATCAGTAAGAACGACAACTAGTTCTTTCCTAAGTGAAAATGGTAATTGAAAAAAAAGGCGTAAGCTGCCACAAAAGGGGTTCAGATGGCAAAAACAATTAACAACTTTATAGATCCAAGAATGGGTCACTACAGATACAACAAACTAGTATTTCTTTGTTTTTAAATATTTTAACATCCTGATTCTCATTTGTATGAACTAACGGCAGGGAGATAGAGTAATGAGAGCTCAGCAAACTCGTACTATAAAGGACCAACAGCAAATATTTTAAGCTTTGTGGGCCACAAGGTCTTTGCTGCAACTTCTCAATTCTGCTATCATAGAGCAAAAACAGCCAAGAATGAGATTAGCTGTGTCCTAATAAAATTTTACCATAACAGATAGTAATGGGATTTGACCTGAAGGTCCTAGTTTGCTGACTCAGAGACTAAACGATAAATCAGAGAGTAGATCCGTAGGGTTCCTCAGAGCCTCAGAATGGTTCTGTAGAGGCTTCAGGTCTGTTAGCACTTCAACTAAACCAGCTCCTCTCTTATCTGTTTTTAATCTATCTTACATATTTATCTGTTTTTAAAATCCTCCATTAAGAACTTATTTAAAGTAAGGGTTCCACTACTTTTTTTAAAAGTTTGAAAATCATTACATCGTATAAGTAAAGGATCTTTGAGTACCATGTCTATGATTTAGCAGAGATATAATTTATTTGATCACACACTCTTTTTTCAAATAACATTTATTAATATTCCCAAATGTAAATAAAATATATTTTGAAAAACACTGCACTAAATGCTTTAAACCTAGCTCAATACACAAAAAATGACTGGTATATGATAGAGAAATAATTTGCTTTATATGAGGGAGTAGGTGAATAATGCCAAGTGATGTTAACTGGTCTTTTACAGTAAAAAAGCTCCATTGTCAAATAAATTTGAGAAAATCTGAGTTAAACAGAGCTACCAAATGTCTTCACCAAAGACCTTCTCAAAGCTCTTAATGTGTAATATGTGCATTGTAACTCTCTGTGAGAGCTGTGTAGCATGTAGCATTTCTTCTGTCATAGTTAGGATTCCACAGAACATACTTTGGGAAATGTTACTTGAGACTGATAGAAAAATTAATAGTCCAATTTTGATACACCTGCTAAAAAGTAAAAAATTTTTAAAAAGTTGAACTAGAAAAAAGCTAAAATAGAACCATACACAAATGTTTATGGCAATAATATTAGAGACAAGAAGCAATTAAAACAGTACAAAAAGTTTAGAAGTTTAAATTAAAATTGAACCAAACTACATAAAACCAAAGTGCTTTAGTGCTGCCGAAGCTGTGAAACACACAAAATTATAAAACTTTGGTAAAGCACATGCCATCATTCAGCAATGGTTTACCATTGGAGTAGCAGCTATAAATTTAAAAAATGGTTTCTTGAATAAAGCCTTATTTCTGCTTATTATTCCACTGCAAAAGAGAAATAATAGTTAATAGAGGAATTTTACAGTAGCCCCAATCATTACTTCTTCCAAAACATATAAGGATCTTTATAAAAGATAGTTTGGTAATTTTAAAATGCTGCTTATAGCCAAATGGGTGAAAATAAAATATATCTTTATGACTACATATAGCAGCAACAAGGTATGAAGGATTCTCCTCCATATCATGGAATTACCAGTTTCTACCCTAAAGAAGGGGTCTGTCCTATTAAAATCTGCCCACACTCCAAAGTCATTAGCCACTGCTGACAAATAACCCTCGTAAAGGACACTAAAATGAAGTACATTAAGGACCATAACAAGTCTCTCTGAGACTCTTTTTTAGCAGAAATACATGAATCTAAACCTACTTTGGAAGAGGCAAAAAGGAAAAGACAGATAAATCAATTAACAGTGTAGCTTTAGTAGCAAGTTAGAGAAATGTGTTAATTTTTCAAATAAAATTGTTCCATACTATGAATTCACAATTATTTTAAAACTTTTAATTTGACCAAATATCAAAGATCTCACACACAGGAGAAGCTCAAAAATATTTATTAAGGAGAAAGTTAATTAACTTTAAAATGACTGTTTCACAATCAGTGAATTTGGGTTAACAGTATAAGGAAGTTCCTTGTACTATCCTTGCAACTTTTCTCTACGTTTAAATTACATCAAAATAATATGTTTTTTGGAAACTCTTAAACACTTTTGTTTTTCATTTTTTTCCACATCTCATAACTAAATTTTGAAACTGAGTAGCCCCCAAGTTGATTATTCCATCTAGTAGAGTTACAAGTTGGTTCATGCTACATAATAACTTTCCTCTTGTCCATTATCACCAATTAAATCAATGCACCACATACTGATGGTAGGTGATGATCATAAAAGCTTCCAAAGGCGGGAAAAAACAGATCCAGCACTAAGGAATGGCAATCAGCATGGGAATGGGCCTCAACTCCCAAGGTGGAAGCTACATCAGCAGTTTTTAACCTTGGCTGCATGTTAGGATCACCTGGTATGTTTCAAAAAGTAACGCATAATTTAATCAGACTCTCTAGAGGGGGGGCCCAGGCATTAGTAGTTCTCAAAACTCCCCAGATGATTCTAATCATCCTGCAGCCAAAGTTGAGAACCACTGAGCTCTACAAAAGACAACAGGGTGATGTTTTCCAAAACTGACTAAAAGCGAGAACGTATACATACAGCTAAATTATTGATCAAGCATGAGCAGAAGATTTTATCAGATCTACAAAGTCTCAAAATTTACTTCCCTTGTACCCTTTCTCAGAAAAAGACTTTATCTGCCAAAATGAGAAAGTAAATTGAGGACGAGGAAAACAAAAGATCCAGAAAATAGGTTATTTAATGCAGGAGAGAAAGATGAAAGAAATTCCCAAGATCATGATAAAAGTAAATTCAAACATGACTGGTATATAATGGGCTTCAAGCACAATCAATCCTGATTAGAGCAGGAGGACAGGAAACTGACAATAGGTATGGGGTGGGCTGGTAATAGATAAAAATGGACAGATGACCTGGTGTGTCTGACCATATTACAATACTGAAAAGATTTTACAGTGCTGTCAATAAGCTTGAGCTGAATTAGTAAGAAGCAGGCAAAAAACTAAAGCATACAAATAAAAACTTGCAATTTCTAAATGCCAGGAAGAACAAGAAAAATTGTATATAAAAGAAACTACCAAAGTATACTATGTGGCTCAGCTGTATACAATAGTCAAATCATGTAAACAATAAACTCTGATTTAACAAAAAAATTGTGCTATAACAACATGGTGAGCGTGGGTGTGGGTAGGAGTGTAAAAGAGCTAATTCTCACCTTCCAAAGTAGGAAATAAATATATACTCTAAAACTGAAAAATCTGGAAACAGTAATGCAAGTATGTTACACTGAAATGCAGAGATAAAGAGATGCAACAGTAAAAAGAATAGAAAACACTGGCTCTGGGAATGACAGTTATGAGTGGGAGGAATGGGGTACAGGACTGATGTTTTTGTGATTAGTCCTGTAAGACTAACTTTTTTCTTTTGCTGAGGAAGATTCACCCTGAACTAACATCCGTTGCCAATCTTCCTCTTTTTGTATGTGAGCCGCCGCCTCAGCATGGCCACGGACAGACAAGTGGTGTAGGTCCGTGCCCGGGAACTGAACTTGGGCTGCCAAAGCACAGCGCTCAACTTAACCACTAGGCCACCAGGGCTGGCCCCCGCTTTCAAGACTATGTGATGTTAAGCTATGTCCACAAATTACTTTTTAGGCTGTTCATATATTACTTTGATAAAAAGGCACAGGACTGACCAAAGGTTTCAGGGAGACCTGTGCTGGAATATAGAAGCCTACATAATTTACACATATTCAGAGGCATGTGGTTAGGGCTTTAATCCTATGCAGATAACTTTCTTTGCTCTCATAGAGAGATGAATCAGAAAACATACACATAAAGCATTCTTCCTCTTCCCATAAATCCTCTAAGAAGCAAATCAAGGATATGAGGAAAAAATAGGTTATTTCAAAATCTAAGAGCATTTAAAAACTTTAAGTACTGTCATTCAGAAAGTTATACTAGATTAAGTATTTTAAGAAATTTTCTGATAAAATCTTGCATACCAGGAAACAAAATTCCAAGATAAAATTTTTTACTCTGACATTCAAATTGGTATTAACAGATAAATGTTAATATCTCAACTGTTATTTTTGTTTTTAAATTCAAAATTATCAATTGCAGTGATTAATAATATGTAGAAAGACTATAGAAAAAATATAGGAAACGTCTAAAAATTTTTTTTCTTTTTAATAAACATTCTCAATGTAATTCCCTGAAATGCTTTCATATATTCCTCCAAATTATCTCATTAATTTTAGACATCCAACTTGGTGACTTTTTTAAACCCCCACTACAGCATTTATTATATAACGCATTTTAATTTTCTATTTAATCACCTCGAACCCTCTCTAAAGGCTCTGCAGGCCTTGGTACGAGGCCTCTCCTGTTCCCCAAGACATCCCTATTATAGAGGAGCACGGTGTTTGGCACACGGGAGACACTCAATAAATACTTGTTAAGTAAATGAACAAAGACATGATTTGATGTATTTATCTCTAATTTAGAATCTATTTCTTGCTTATTAAGATAATGCTTAATATGAGACAAATTCCCTTCATACATATGGAGGAAAGTAAATAGAAGAGTACCTTTCAATGAGAGTCCCATTTTGAATCATCCAAACATCACAATATGTCCGAGACACCAGCATAACAGCAATAAGCATCAAGTAACCTGTCTGAAATAAACCAGGTATAGTAAATTAAACAAATGTATCTTAGAAAGTTAGGGGCCGGCCCCGCGGCTTAGCGGTTGAGTGCTTGCACTCCGCTGCTGGCAGCCAGAGTTCAGATCCCAGGCCCGCACCGATGCACTGCTTCTCTGGCCATGCTGAGGCCACATCCCACATACAGCAACTAGAAGGATGTGCAACTATGACATACAACTATCCACTGGGGATTTGGGGGAAAAATAAATAAATAAATAAAATTATCAAAAAAAAAAAAAAGAACTTTCTTAAACAAAAGAAAGTTAAAAGAAACATTACCTTGGTAAAGATTTTTGGTTCCTAAATTCAAAACTTTATGCTAGCTTTAATGCAGACATTTTACCTATAGGCCATTTTTAAATATAATTTTAAAAGAATTTTAAAATATAATATAAATGGAAGAGGCCTTATAGATCATTTCATCTAATTTTCTCATCCAGACTTCAAAAGTGCATCCCAGGCAGGTCAAATGACTTGTCTTCATACAATTAGTCTAGACAGAAACTAGCAGTATAACTTAGATTACCTGAATCACAGTATATTGTGATTGTCTTAAAATAATAAAGAAAAATGACAACTGTCAATATACAGTTGAACAATAAATACTGAAGCCTAAAATTTTACCTACTAAGTAGAATAAATTTGGTTCAGTTGGTTAGAAAATTCTCTAATAGTGCCCCTGCCTTCACAGGGCTTTCAACTTAGTTATTAAGGCAAGATTTAAACATAAAAAATAAGAAAACAGACTGATGTAGGTGAGTATATTTGCATCACTTCACATGATCAATGGCAGGATGGGAAGGTCTCTGGGTAGCAAAAGAGGGTTATAGCATTAGAAATACATTAAATCCTAGGAAAACAAAGGAGGGAATGAGGATTATGAGTTAAAAAAAAAAAAAGATGAAGGATTTAATGGAAAATAAGAAATAGATTAAAACCATATGAATTATGGTATTGCATATAGAGCAGAGTTTAGGCAATATAAAACTATCGCAAGCTTCTAGGTAGAACAAAATGTTAAAAAGACAACATTACTTAAGCAATGCTGTGCAAGATGGATCATCGAGGGGAGAGATGAGAGGCTGAGTGACTGGTTAGGAGTCAACTGTCTCTCTGTGTGAGATGAGAATCTACCCTCTACCCTCCAACACACACACATTCAAAACTCACCTTAAACTTTCTAAATTGGAAGAAGAATCTAATGTTCTAACCCTCTTTTGCTTCCCAGAGACCTTCCCATCCTGCCATAGAAGCTAAGGTCAGGGAAGAGGGTGTGTGGCAGGAGGGATACTTGCTGGATAATGTGTTTAATTTCCAAGTTATGGAACTGAGGGGCAACTGCATCTATCATTTACGTAATTTTTGCAAAACAAATACTGCTTTTAAAAAAGAGGAAGGTAACTGAAAGCCCTGAAATAAAATCACACACCTACGGACAGCTGATTTTCGACCAAGGAGCTAAGAATATACAATGGAGAAAGGAAAGTCTCTTCAATAAACGGTGCTGGGAAACTGGACAGCCACATGCAAAAGAATGAAACTAGACCAGTTCCTTTTGCCATACACAAAAATTAACTCAAAATGGATCACAGACCTGAAGGTGAGACCTGAAACTATAAAACTCCTGGAAGAAAATATAGGCAGCGCATTATTGGTCATCGGTCATAAAGAGATCTTTTCAAATTCCACGTCTACTCAGACAAGGGAAACGAAAGAAAAAATAAACAAGTGGGACTTCATCAGATTAAAGAGCTTCTACAAGGCAAATGAAACCAGGATCAAAATGAAAAGACAACCCACCAGCTGGGAGAAATATATGCAAATCATATATCTGACAAGGGGTTAATCTCCATAATATATAAAGAACTGACACAACTGAACAACAACAAAACAAACAATCCGATCAAAAAATGGGCAGAGGATATGAACAGACACCTTTCCAAGGAAGATATACAGATGGCCAATAGGCACATGAAAAGATGTTCAACATCACTAATCATCAGGGAAATGCAAATCAAAACTACACTAAGATATCTCCTTACATCCATTAGATTGGCTATAATCACCAGACAAAAAACGACCAATGTTGGAGAGGTTGTGGAGAAACGGGAACCCTAATTCACTGCTAGTGGGAATACAAACTGGTGCATCCTCCATGGCAAACAGTACGGAGAGTCCTCAAAAAATTAGAAATAGAAATACTTTATGATCCAGCTATCCCACTTCTGGGTATCTATCCAATGAACCTGAAATCAACAATCCAAAGAAGCTTATACACCCCCATGTTCATTGCAGCATTATTCACTATAGCCAAGAAGTGGAAGCAACCCAAGTGTCCCTCGACTGATGATTGGATAAAGATGTGGTGCGTGACACACACACACAATGGAATATATTTAGCCATATAAAAAAGGAAATCGTCCCATTTGCAACAATATGGATGGACCTGGAGGATATTATGTTAAGTGAAATAAGCCAGCGAAAGACCAACACCGCATGATTTCACTCATAAGTGGAAGATAAACTAACACACAGACAGGGAGAACTGTTTAGTGGTTACCGGGGCCAACGGGGTTGGGGTGGGCATAAGGGGGTAAGAGATGCATTTATACAGTGATTCACAAACAATAATGTACAACTAAAATTTCACAATGTTATAAACTATTATGACATCAACAAAAAATTAAAAAAAAAAAAAAAAGGTACTAAAAATATAGCCCTTTAAGTGAAAGACAAGGCAGGGAGTCACAAACACAGAAGTATAACAAATGAAGCCATAAGAAAGAAGACAATGACCAAGCAAGTCTATGTAAGTGAGCTGTGACAGCTGCTACCCCACTGTTTGCCAGAGTGGGCTAGCAAGGATTCTTCCTACCCTCTCCCACCACTTCAAAGTCAGGTATTCAATTGACAACAGAAGAATCTATTGATTTTAATAAATGCTATCTATAGATATCACTTTAACTCTAATACTAACTTCTAATTCAGACCTTAAACACAGTCCCAATCCTAAATTAATCATTTGAGGTATAAAGGTAACATTAGATGAAGATAGTTCCTTTTTTCCTTCACTTTATGTTCCTGGCTTAATTTTTCCTTAAAGTAAGTACCAAGTTTACTTGTCTCACTTTAGCAAAATCTGGCAAACTTTGATCACTGACAGTCCTGCAATGCCTTTATACAAAGGAGGTCCTTAGATCACCATGATTCCCATTATTAATGGGTTTGTAGAATATGCCAGAAACTAAAGATTTGCACTAATTTAGGTAGTCCCTCACCTTATGATACATATGATCTTCCATATATTCATATGCAGTATTTTCATTTCTCTATTTCATAAATCAATTAATTAATCTCTCTATCGCTACCTCCAATCTTCTGTGATTTCTATGGGAGTTTATTTCACTTTCTTGAACTGAGGTTCAACTTGGATCTTTACATCCTCAAAGATGGTTCATAAAATGACAGTGGCATGGCTACACCTCAACAGAACTGGGAGGCTGGCCAAGTTAGGCCTTTCTACCCCCTTACTAACTCCCAGAGATCTATCCAATGTCACATTCATTTTATATTCAGCAAACCCTGCTAAGCAGTTAAATGAGCAGTGCGCTGTTAACTGATAAGGGGGTAATATATGAATCTTTCCAGAAAAGCTTGTATTTTAAATAAGGATTCTTCAAAGTCAGGTTGTAGAATGAGAAAACAATTAATTATGCCTGAAGAGTCATAGGAAACAGCCACAAAGAAGATAATGAGCATTAAGCTATTTTTTAAAAATATTTAAACATATTTTTAAACATAAACATAAGCTATTTTTTAAACAAACATATTAAACAAATCATTAAAAATACTTTCACTGGGGTTGGGGGGCGGGTTGTCACAGATATATCATGAAAGCATGAGAGCATAGAGCCTGACTATGAAACAGCAAAGAATGTTCTAAGCAGACGATATTGAAAGGAAGTGTAAAGTCAGGTTATGACTCACCCTATAAGAAAAAAGAAGCCAAATGTTTTTACCAGGGTTTTAGAAAGAAGACTAGTTAGAAAAGGAGAAGTAAAAAGACCAATTAAGAGAGTATAGTAATATAGGTAAGATATAGTAGAAATGGAAAGGGAGAGACTAATTTAACAGAAACTCAAGGACACTTGGAAAAAACACTTAGAAGCGAGGCAGCAGATTTAAAAAGTGTCAGTGTGATCCCATGTTTATTAAAATATGTGCTCACACACAAGAAGACTACACATCAAAATAAAGCAGAGGTTCTCTCTGAGCGGGAGGCTAATGGGCACCAAGAAGAAAAAATATCTCTGCATCTTCCAATTTTTCTTCAAGCAACATGTATTAAATTATTTTTTTAGAGTTTGTTAAGGGTGAAATCAACAAGACACGATGCTGAAAGGAGGAGGAAGGAGAGCAAGCCCAGAGTGACGGAAAAACGTGCGTCCTCTTTGGGAATTATTGTGCTTTTGAAATATTTTATCCTTTTCATGCTATTAATAGATTATAAGCTAAAGCTTTTTAACATGTGAACAACAGGAAACATTACGTTTTAGGAAGACAAACGTAGCAGAAAAGATTAAAAAGGGAAGATTCTTTGAAGGGAGACTAATTAAAGAGCACGATAATATCCAAGTAAGAATAGTCAGAAGGAAAAATGATCAGATCCCAGTCCCTGAAAGGATGAGGTATGGGGAGAAGAATGAGTCAAAGGTGATGATATTTCTAGTTGTATGAAAGGAGAATACTGAGGTGATTAAAGATGGAGAAAATAGCATTATTGTAGTTTTTAATCATTAAAAATACTTATCAAATAATGATAAAGATAATTTTGATAAAAGGGCAAAGGAAGGGATAATAAAACTTTATTCCTATAACCAGCTCACTTCCTGAAAATACTTGAAGAATCCAGAAATCACTTCGGTATCTTAAAAACGTATTTAACCAAATATAAAGAATAAATCCTCAAACATATTCCATATCAATGTGACTTGTTAACATTTTAATGTAATAAAAAGGTCTGCCTTTCTAAATTTAATCTTGTTTCATTATATTGTAATAAGCAACACCGTTTAGGGTAGCTATACTGAAGAACTCTAGTATTTCGCATAAAATATAATGAAATAACATTTCATAAACAAGAGAAAACTATTTAAAAGTTGGCAATGAACAAGGGTACTTGCATGACAAGAAATGATTTACACATAAAAATTTAGTAGTAGTCTTCATTAGCTACATGGAAAATATTTGACCTGTAGTATACCAAAAGCTTTATAATTTTATTGTTCTAATCTCATGTAACCTTTAAAGTTGAACACATTATAATTTTATAAGACTTACCTCTTTACAAAATGTTCTAGGGATCATGATTTTCAGAATCCGTGTGAGTCTTGAAAAAAACACCTTGTCCACCACAGCTCGCTCTTTTTTTCCCTCTTTCTACAGTAAAAAAAAAATCTTTTAAGATAGCTATAACATATCTACAACAAATAATATTAAAGAACCACGTTTCGTCTATGTCAATATAAACAACTCTCAACATGGATACTGCATTTAGAGAACACCGACTTGTATGGCTCTGCATATTCAAACATGCTTTCAGGAAAATAAGATGTTACCAAAAACTGAATAAGGAAGTGAGAAGTTCTGGATCCACGTGAAAATCTGGGAGAAGAACACCACAAGCAGAAGAAACAGCAAGTGCAAGCTACCAAGGTGAAAGCCTGTTTAATGTGCCTGAAGAACAACAAAATGGCCCATGGCTGGAGCTGTGAGCAAGGGACAGTAGCAGAAGATGAGGTCAGAGAGACAGCTAAGCAATGGTCAAGCACTTACTGATGGTTTATAATCTACTTCCCAATGAACAGCAGAAATTTTTTAAAAATCTTGCACAAGAATTTTCCTGATATCAATTACAGGAAACTTTTGGATTCCTAGATTTATCATTTATCATTTCTAATAGACAATCTGCCAATTCACTCTCTCTTCCCATAAATTCAAAGATAAACAAGGTTCCTTCACTCATACAGTTCACATTCTAGTAGGGGAAACACAGATAAAAATAAATGGATAAATTGTTACAGATAGACTAGGCAGGGTCATGAGAAAAAGAATAATTCAGAAAGGATGACATGAAAGGTGTCTTTGGGAAGGTGACATTTAAGCTGAGGCACAAATAAAGTGAAGCCATGTGACCATCTTGGGGGTAGGAGTGTAGTGAGACACAGGCAACACCGAGCACAAAAACCCAGGGGTGGGAATAAAATTCCGGTGTACACTGAAGAACAAGATGATACAGCTGCTAAAGCAAAGAGAACAAAAATGAGAGATGCTGAAGAGGTGGGCAGGGCCTATAAAGGGCAGCACCTTGAAGCCATAGTAAGGATTTAGAGTATATTATCAGTGTAGAGGGAAACCATTGAAGATATTTAAGAGCAGTAATTAATCTTATTGTCCTTAGACATTCCTTCATTTTCACTGATCCATGAAAATGGAGGTATAAAACCATTTGCAAAGATAAGGAAAAAGCGACATGAACTGGGTATGATGGAGGCTATTTACTTTATTACCCTTTGACTGTTTGGAAGAACAGGCAGGAGAAACTTCTTGGAATATGCAAGACACTCCAGAGAGACCCCATCCCCCGCCAAGCCCCTTCCCCAACTCCCATAATCACAGCTCACTTAGTTGTTAACTACTATGCTCTTGATAAACAAACACCCACGGTACAGTAAATTTTACTATTTAGACAAACTTTGGTGTAAATATGCTTTAATTAAATTAATACCTAACTTGATGAGCCTTAAAGTGAATTAGTTTCTGTACTGAATTAAAATAATAATAAGCTGCCATCTATATGTCAGACACCGTGCTAAGTGGTTTATATATATATAATCCTAATAAATAGGCACTGAGTGTAGGACAGAATTGTAGACCAAGAAAGGAAGTCTGAAGGCGCTGTGTTTGTGGAGCTAGATCAGGAAGACTAAAACAGCAAGAACTGGGTAAGAATCTGCCTACCCTGTAACTGCTGGAACACAGTTCAGGTCTTTCAAACCTTGTGAAGGCTGCAAACCTCTTCCTACTGAGCAACAGGCCCGGTTTACTTCATTCACACATGTATGCAATCATTCATCCAATAAATACTATTTACAATCAGCCCTCTGTATCCTCGGGTTCTGCATCCCCGGATTCAACCAACTGCGGATCAAAAGGCCTACAATGATTACGTCTGTACTGAACACGTACAGACTTTTTTCCTCGTCTTTATTCCCTAAACACACAGTGTAACAACTATTTACATCGCATTTACATTTTACTAGATATTATAAGTAATCTAGAGATGATTTAAAGCATAGGGGAGGATATTCGTAGGTTATATGAAAATACTATGCCATTTTATAGTACAAGGGACTTGAGCATCTGCGGATTTTGGTATCCTGGGGGGTCCTGGAACCAACCTCCCCCCTGCCAATACTGCGGGACAACTGTACTTGGTCCAAGGCACTGTTCTAAATGATGGGGACCCACCAGCAAACAAAACAGAGAAAAAGCCCTACTCACAGTCTATTTACTTTAGCTAGCCTATTCGCCTCAAGCCAAACTTTATAACTTCAACCTAAATCACCCCTTTTCCTTCCTCAAACTGAGAAAACACAGGAAGAAAAGAACAAAGAGAAGGCGATACATACCAACTACCTTTAAAAAAAAAAGTTCTACTCTCAACTTTTTCCTCCTGTCACTGCCTTCCCTACCTCACCTCATCCCACCTATAGTCAACACCCTTCTCCATTTCTAGCTTGAACCTTAGGATAATTCCAAGGCGAAACAGCCATCTTCTGACTTAAACAGAGGACTACCTACTTCTAGCTGCTCTCAAGAAGTAATCTAGGGCAAACAATGAGGAATGTTTAAAAAAAATAATCATAGAAAGTAACAATGAAGCACTTTAAAATAATGGCAGCTACCTGGTATAAAATTCCTCCTCCTCTTTTTCTTCTGTTCCTATTGTCACTGCTCCTGTTTCTTAAACTGTCTGAAAGCTGACTGGATTTTCATTACATTTCAATCCATGAAGAGAACGATATACTTCCTAAAGTCATCACAGTGTTTCCTGCAAAGACACTTGGACTGGAGGGCTGGCTCAGAAAGGCTGAAGAAACATCAAGATGCTCTAATCTTCTTGATACATAATAAAACTAATACCTGAAACCAAACTTCATGAGAATACCTATAGAGACAGTATATTTCAGAAACACTACTAGTCTCGCCTAAGAATTCACAATTGACTTTCCCCACCTCTAAACTTCTCAGTAATTTTTTAAACAAACAAAAAAAAACACCCACGTTGATGATATAAATCTAACATGTAAATTATAGAAAAAGCAAACACACTATTAGATAAAGACCATTTAAGAAGATAAAATAATAATGCAACCAGAAAAAAAATTATATCTAACATTCAGGAGGTGGCATGGTCAAAGGGCAATGAAAGGTTTCTATTAATGTGTGAATCGACTGATAAAGGGGAGATGAACTAGAATTGACTGAAAAAGATAGATGCTTGAAATAGCAAATAAAACAAAAGGCCATATGATACTGACAAGAATGTAAGCACTCCTGTATATTGTTGAGGAAAGTATAAATTGGTACAACTACTATGTAGCATCTATCAAAATATGAAATCTATACTGAGCATAAAATGGAAAATAACCCAGCAAATTTACCTTTAGGAATTTATCCTATAGGTATTCCTGCACACATGCTTCAACACGAAAATGAAAAAAACTTGCACACTGTTTATAATACCATAAAATTAAAAACTTAAATGTTCATCAATAATGATATTACATAAATTATGGTAAATTTACGCAACGAAAATTCTACACAATTGTAAAAAAGGAAGCAGCTCATATTCATACAATAGAATACTATAGAGCACTTAAATTAACTAGATCTATACTTATCAACATAGACGAATCTAAAAAAACATGCTGGGAATAAAAGTGGAATGATACATATGATGATTTAATTTATAAAATTTTTCAATATGCAAAAATATTTCTACTTATATTGTTTATGGAGATATACAAATATACACACAATACAAATATACACACACCCTAAAAGTATAAGAATATGCATGGGAATGCTACATACCAAATCCAGCACAGTGTTTATCTTTATATATTTTGAACTTTATACCATGTATATTACATTAAAATTAAATGAGTAGCATTTAAAAGCAAATCAATTATTTCTTTATACTATTTTATAACTCTACTAAATCTTTTTCTCCTTAAATCTTATGTCTTATGAAAATTCTCACCCCACTCATCCTACCAAAAATTACAAAAAATTTCAGTGAAAACATTCCCTTTTCAATTGCTTTCCCTCATAAATAACGCATTTGCTGCAGAAAAATTAGAAAGTTCAGATGAGCAAAAATAAGGAGCCTATACCTACCATTTAGATGTATCAACTGTTAATGTTTGACACATATCTTACCAGATTTCCTTCTAACACATACGTGTGTGTGTGCACTTCCTATAAATTTACAAATGCGGTATCAGTGTGCATACTGTCTTATACCCTCTTTTTTGCCAACCATTTAATCTAACTTAAATTTATCTTGCCCACACTATATGACTTGCAAATAAGTATACACTAAAAAAAAAGTACAAAAAATAGGAAGAATTAAAAAATGGGTGAATGAATTTAGTTGTACTGACTAGTTTCAATGATGTCCTAGAACTTACAGATATAATATGTAGATAGTAGATTTAAGTAATGTAACTAAGTTTTGATTACTCAAATATAATTTAGATATGAGAGATAATGATGACAGAGATATGCCAAAAGACTGGAGATAAGCATATCTTGTCCTGTTTTTCAAAGCCTGTGAAAAAGATTATGGAAATTAAAGAACAGCAATTTTAATGTCAATCTCCATGATATTCAGAGAACAGACATTAATATGGAGGGTTTAGGAAGACTTAAGAGAAAATAGTCACTAGAAGACAGCATGAGTTTACTAGAAATAAGTCATGTCAACTATTCTAATTTTCTTCTTTGTTAAGGATATTAGCTGATATGTACAACGTAAGCTCCATGAGGACAGGGACTTATTTTTATAACGGCTATACACTCAGAGGCAAGAACAATGCCGGGCATATACGAGGGGCTCAATCAATATTTGCTGACAGACTGACTTAATAAATGAATTAATAAATTAATCAAGGAATTTGTTGTTTCTTATAAAATTATTGTGGCCTTAATGGAGTTGTAAAGTCACAGCTGAATAAACCATACCCAAAAAAAAACAAAAATAAAGATTAAGAGAGATGCCACAGAGGAATTTCTTTGGTCCTTACCTAGTCGATACTATCTACAATTTTGAGGAAGAAAGAGAACGTAAGTTAAATTTGTAGATAATACCTTCTACCTAACATACTAGATGTTAGAATTACATTTAAAATTACACTAATAGTATAGACATACTATAAGACAGACTAATAGTATAGACCCAATACGCTGACATTTACAGGGATAAATTAATGTTTATTTAAAAGAAAGCAACTGAGTTTCCATATGACCCAGCAAATAGACTCCTAGGTATATATCCAAGAGAAATGAAAACATATGTCCACACAAAAGCTTGCACACAAACGTTCATAGCAGCATTATTCATAATAGCCAAAAAAAGGAAACAACTTAAATTTCCCTCATCTGATGAATGGATAAATAAATGTGGTATATTTATACAATAGAATACTATTCAGCAATAAAAGGTATGAAATACTGATACATGCAACAACACAGATGAACCTTGAAAACACTGTGCTAAATGGAAGAAGCCAGTCACAAAAAGCCACATATTACATAATTCTATTTATAGGAAATGTCCAAAATAGGCAAATCAATAAAGACAGAAAATAGATTAGTGGTTGCCAGGGGCTAGGAGGAGAGGGTAAGGAGAAATGACTGCTAAGGGGGTTAAGGAATTTCTTTTTGAGGAGACGAAAATTTTCTAAAATTAGATAGTGGTAATGGCCACACAATTCTGTGAACATATTAAAACCACTGAATTGTACATTTAAATGGATGGATTTTATGGTATATAAATTATATATCAATAAAACTGTCATTAAAGAAAAGAAATAAAGAAATCAACTGATGAATACAGATATAGAAGATCATTCATGACAGCTGTTCATCAGAAAGATACCTGAAGATTATCATTTACCATAAACTTCACTTAATGTAAACAGCAGTTATGGCTAAAAAAGTAAAAGAAATTTTAGGCTGTATTTTAGCAATATGGTCTTCATATCAAGAGATGTAATAGTGCTAATGTTTTCCATGCTAGTCAGACCACATCTGGACAACTACGTTCTATTCTAAGCATAATGTCTAGAGAAACTAACTAGTCCAGGTCCAGAGGAAGGTACAGAGAATTGAAAAAGGATCAGAAACCATGACATGTGCGGGCCGGCCCCGTGGCTTAGCGGTTAAGTGCGTGCGCTCCACTGCTGCCGGCCCGGGTTCAGATCCCGGGTGCGCACCGACGCACCGCTTCTCCGGCCATGCTGAGGCCACATACAGCAACTAGATGGATGTGCAGCTATGACATACAACTATCTACTGGGGCTTTGGGGGTAAAAAATAAATAAATGAAATCTTTAAAAAAAAAAAAAAAGAAAGAAAGAAACCATGACATGTGAGAAACACTTGAAGGAATGATGGTTGCTTAGCATGGAAAAAAAAAAAAAAACACTCAGAAGATACAACTACCTTCAAACAATATGAAAGTCTATTAGAGAAAACAGAGCGAACTTGTCCTGTGCTGCTACAAAAGACACAGTAAGAGTCAATCACTAAGAGGCTAGAGGGGAAGATGAATCTCCTCATGGGCTAGAAGAAATACAGTTATAGCTGTCTCCTAGGTAGTACTCTCCATCAAATGAACAGATTCAAGTAAATACAAGAAGTCACCTAGCAAGGATTCCTATTTCAGGAAGAATTCCTATAATATGTAGCAGATTGGAGATGATATTTAAGTTCCCTTCTAATTCTAAAATTCTATGATTTTATTCTAATTCAAAATTATATAACAAAATAAATGAAATAAATGCATGAAATTCCAAAGAGGAGATGATTTAAAATTTTACCTCATTGTTCTGTAATGGTGGCTTTCCATTTTTCTTACTGCAGAGAAAAAGAAAAAAGAAAGAGAGAGAGAGCTTTATTTGCAAACCGTTCCCATCATAAAAATTATTTTAGGATATCAAAAGAATTTACCAAATTCTCCAAATGAGTTTCTTCTTTTACATATCACACAGAAATAGAATATATTAAATATAACAGTCCAGCTGCCTCTTACTAAGCATAACTTATACAAGTACTCAATAAATGTGAACTACTACTATCGTCTATCACGCATTATGTTGGTAATTTTTACACACACACACACACACACACACACACTTATTTTACAAATTCTCCCATGGAGAGGTGGAGTCTATTTCTCCACCCTTGAATCAAGGCTTGGCCATGTGAACTGCTTTGGCCAATGGGACACAAGCAAATAGACACAAGTAAGGGCTTGAAAAATGTTTGTGCATTGGACCCTCTCTCCCGCTGCTGGGAATCTTTTCCTAGCCATGTGGGCAATCCCAGGTTAGTTACCTGAAAGATGAGAAGACTATGTGCCATTCCCATGTTACAAATGAAAAAAACTGGCTTGGAAGAGTCAGGAGCATGCCCAAGGTTCATGGTACTCAAAGGAGTTAATCTGGCACTTGAACCCAGGCCTGACTATTAATCCAGGCTACCTTCCTAAACAATATAATAACCAGCTTAGGTTCTTTTTACAACACATTACCATAGCACCCTATGCTTCTATGTAACAATGGTCACATTTTACGTCTCTTGTTTAATGTATATTTCCTCCCAGGAAATTAGTTCCATTGAGATCAGGAGCTATTGCAGGTTGCCTTCTCCAAAGTAAAGGAGAGATGGTGTGTGGGGTATAAAATGTTTATTAGGGATCACACTTGTGAAAGGAAGGCGAAGAAAGCAAGTTTGGGCAGAACTCAAACTGTGATGCAGGCCCAACAAAATTTCGGCCAACCAGGTGGGAAACCCTGAAGCAAGTACTGTCCATCAGAGTGCACTGTGATGGGCGGAAATGGTCAGGTGTTTATACCTCTTCCATGCTCAGTCTGCAAATGCATGCTGCTCCAGGGAGGTCATGACCTCTGAGTAGGTGGCTCTGCAGCTAACGCAGACTCTAAGGTGTGGGCAGAAGGGGTTACCTGGTGAGCCACACTCCTCAGAGCTGGACAATAAGCCCTTCTTTGAAGGGGCATCTAGGTAGCATATTTCCGTATCTACTACAGGGGTCATATATTACTCAACCCTCTATGTTCAACACCTAGTTGAGCTCCAACAACCTGTAAGAATGAACCTTTTAAGAAATAAGATACCAGGTCACTAGACAAGGCTAGAAAGCCAAACTTAACTACAATTCAGTAGATGGTCTTATTCTAAAAGTGCCTATGTTTATTATTGTTTCTAATTTAAATCGTATTATAAGATTGTTTATCTGTTTTTATAACTTGTATGAGATTGCAAAAGTGTTTCAGAAAATGTTTTTTATATATATGTTCAGGCGTGCCCAGTTAACTATGAGCCCCCCTTTCTAAGGCTCTCTAAATTCCTTCTTGTAAAGAATTCTTTAACGTTTTCCACAGATGTTCTCTATTTTAAAGATACTAGCTATATAAACATATATAGATCACTCAGGATACATCAGAGCAGTACACTAGATCCTATATAATGAGTTACATTTTTTTCACTTGAAATGTCATGCTAAAGACTGGAAAGAAGTTAATTTACTTCCCAAAACATGATCCAGGCAGATTCAATCTAACAAAAATTCAGTATTTTCCTTTTCTTGATTTTTATCCCATGAAACTAAAAAGGCTCTACAACAAACAGACATGTATGTCTTCTACTCTTGTATATTCCTTTTGGTTACTGAAAAAGATGCATGATTCTTCTTGTTCTAGTTTTCTGTAACACTGCCACCTAGGGATAACAATTTTTAAACTGTCTAATATTTAACGTATTGTTTTCACTTCCTTTAAGGTACATTTTAGCGGTTAGCCTGGGACTTTAATTTTTTTCCTCTTGGAGATTTAGGCTGGTCGTAAAATGCTATCAGATTGTTTCAGCTTTTACTTAAGTTGCTCTGATACTTTTAGACAACAAATCAGAGTTTTATACTAGTTGTGTTATATAGCAACATGTTTTGCTTACTGTTCCATTTTAAGATGCTAGCTCACGAAGTTTTTAACATAAATACATATTAAATAAAATGTTGAAAAAAAACATCAATTTATCAGCCAAATACATTAAAATAAAGGTATTCAACATGTTCAAAATACTGCCAATTGTTTTTCCTTGATGGCATTACAAGAATACGTCTGCAATATTCAACGCTGAATAACCAGAGTTATTCAGTCATTCTTTCAAGTAAAAATGATGCTCCACGAAAAAAGTGGCTAGTTCAGTTCACAACTCAATCGCACCAGTGCTTTCCCTCAGGACAGCCTTTGTACTTTAAAATGCTGCAAGAAGTGCTTTGTGCAAACTTCTCATTTTTCTTTGGCAAAGACATTACAAAAAAAGAAAAGATAAGACCAATAACCGACTATTTATAAAAAGTATAGGAGGATTTTATCCAAGAAATGGAAGGTCAGGTTAACATTCGAAAAAATCAATGTAATTCAGTATATTAACAGCCTAAAAAAAAAAAAAATGTCATACCAACAGATACAGAAAAGGCCTTTGACCAAACCCAACACCTATTCATCATAAAAACTCTCATCAAACTAGGAATAAAAAAGAACTTCCTCAGTCTGATAAATGACACTGACAAAAACCTACAACTATCATTATGCTTATTAATGAAACACTGAGTCTCTGTAAGATCTGGAACATGGCAAAGATGCCAACTCTCACCACTTCTATTCAATATTGTTACTGAAGGACACAGACAATAAAGTAAGAAAAAGAAATAAAAGGCACATAGAATGGAAAGGAAGAAGTAAAACTATCTTTATTGCAGACTCTATAAACATCTACATAGAAAATCCTAAGGAATATAAAAAAAAGCTAACCAGATTCCAGGATACAACATCTATACACAAATATTAACTATATTTCTACATACGAGCAAAGAACAACTGAAAATTGAAATTTTAAACATACCATTTACAAAAGCATCAAAAATACTAAATATTTAGGGATAAATCTGGAAAGGAAAAAAAAAGAAGGTGCAAGACCTTCATGCTGAAAACTACATGTTATAGAAAAACTGAAGACTAGATAGAGAGATATATCATTTTCATGGATCAGAAGACTCAATATTGTTAAAAAGTCAATTCTCCCCCAATTGATTTAGAAATTCAATGCAGTCCCAATCACAATTCTATCAGATTTTTGTAGAGTGACAAGTTGATTCTAAAATCCATATGTAAATGCAAAGGACTTAGAATAACTAACAAATTTTGAAAAAGAACAAAGTTGGAGAAATTGTACCTGATTTGAAGGCTTATCATAAAGCTACAGTAATCAAGAGAGTTTGATATTGGAGTAAAAATATAGATCAAAGAAACAGAAAAGTCCAGAAGTAGACCTCCATACATATGGCCAATCGATTTAAGACAAAGGTGCCACGGCAATTCAGTGGGGAAAGAAAAACCTTTTTAACAAATGGTACTGGATCAATTGGATAGCCATATGCAGAAAAAATGAATCTCAACTCTTATTGCACACCATATACAGAAATTAATCTGAAGTGGAACACAGACCCAAATATAAGAGCTAACACTATGAAATTTCTAGAAGAAAACAGGAGAAAATCTTAGTAATTTTGAGCTAAACAAAGATTTGTTAAATAGGACACATAAAGTACAAACTACACAAGAAAAAAACCAACAAATTGGACTTCATCACAATTTAAAATGTTTGCTTCTCAAAAGACACTATTAAGGAAACGAAAAGATAAGCTATCAACTAGGACAAAATATTTGCAAAACATATATCCAAGAAAAAACTTGTATTCAGAATACATAACAAACTCTTACAATCAAATAAGAAGACAATTCATTTAAAGATTTAATTAAACAGACACTCTGCCAAAGAAAATGGGTGGATGGAAAATAAACACATGAAAAATGCTCCAAGTCATTAGTTCTTCAGGAAATGCAAATTAAAACCACAATGAGAAACCACTACACACATCCACTAGATGGCTAAGATTAAAAAGACTGGTCATACCAAGTGTTATCAAGGATGTAGAGCAACTGGAATTTTCTTATACTGCTGATGGGAATATAAAATGGTACAATCACTTTGGAAAACAGTTTGGCAGTTTCTTAAAAAGTTAAACATACTCCTACTATACAACCTAGCCATTCCACCACTAAGTATCTGCTCAAGGGAAATGAAAGCGTATGTCCATACACAGACTTTACACAAATGTTCATAGCAGCTTTATTTTTAATAGCTAAAACCTGGAAACAATCCAAACGTCCATCAACAAGCGAATGGATTAAAAAAATTGTGGTATATCCATAAAATGTACTCAACAATTAAAAAAAAAACTACTGATACATGCAACATAGATGAATCTCAAAATCATTAGCTGACTGAAGGTAGCTAGACAAATTAAGTACATAGCATATGATCCCACTTATATGAAATTCTAGAGCAGCCAAAACTAATCTGTAGTCACAGAAAGCAGATCCGTCGTTGCTTCAGGCTGGTAGCGGGGACGGAAATGACTACAAAGGGGCATGAGGGATCTTTGGATTGACAGAAATGTTCGTTATCTCGATTGTAGCGATGGTTTCACAGGTGTTTACACGTCAAAACTCAGCAAGTTGTATACTTTAAATATAAGCAGTTTATCATACATCAATAATACTTTAATAAAGCTGTAAAAAAAATGACCAAATCCTAGGACAGACTTTTTTCCTAAGAACATAATAGAATAGCGCATTTTGTTTGTTCTTCATTGCTGCAGGGGTGACGGAGAGGGAGATGAAGTTAACTGTTCCTTAATAATGGTAACAAAACATGTAAAATTAATAAGCGGGAAATTCCCCTAAAGATGGGAGGAGACCAACTATGAGACT